CTGCAATGCCCTGGCCAGTAGCGAGGGCGGCGCGTCCTGGTGCAACGTCACCCCCCGCCGCCAGCAAGCCCCCCCAGCGCGCGGCGCAGCTGGCGATGCCTGCGGGTGGCCTTCCCGCCCGGCGCCCGAGCTTCGAGGCGCTCGACGGACGCCAGAAGGAACAGGCCCCTCTGAGCACGCTTCTCTCCAGAGCCTGTGACTGGAACAACTGCGCGAGCGTGGTCAGCCCGCGCGCGCTCAGCGCGGTGCCCTCTCGCCGCCGGCCAAGCGCTCAGCGGCGACCGTGGCTCGTTCATTGCTTTCTGGTGCGAGCAAACCCCCGCTGTTCGCGAGCCTTGCGCGCCTGCTCGGCGACGGCTACCTCCCTCTCGAACCCCGTGGCGGCGTGCTCCGTCAGGGAGGCAACGCCATCGTGCCGCCGCCGCCCCGACACTCCCTCATGAACACCTCCTGCTCGTCGTGCGGGAGGGCGTTCTTGCCGAAAGCCTTGCGAACGACGTCCCTGCTCTTCTCGCGGTAATACTATACGATGAGCTGGGCACAGGTTCCAGGCAGGCGAGGCTCGCGAGGTCCACCTGGTCATAAGAGCCTGCGTGGGTGAGAGTCTTATTCGCGGATTCGCGTTCGGAGACACTCCTTTCGCAAACGTTGAGCTCGGCCACGCGCCGCCACGAACGATGATGTTTGAGGGGGTCCCACCGTGCGCGCCACGACCGAGAAACGCTCAAAACATCCCATCGCCATCGGCCTGCCGATCGGCCAATCCGACAGGGCCACCTCGGAGATGGTGCCTCCCACGCCTTTCTAGGCGCGGTGCCGAAGGCCAGAACCAGCAACATACTGCACGCGAGGGACGCGTGCGTCAGTCTCGGTGTCGGCCAGCCTCGTCTCTTTGGTGGAGTGATCCTTGCGGGACTCCTTTTCCCGATTGACTTCGGCTCTCGCCAAGCCCATCGAGTCGAGGCACCCGGTTCGGATTCCATCGCGCCGCGGTCCTCGACGCCGACGGCCGTCATGTTGAGCTCTGCTCGGCCGCCCTTCTCACGTCCGATGGCGGTCTCGGTGTACACCCACACTTTGCTGGAAGGCGTCGGCACTCGGCCTGCTCAACAGAGCGCCAAATGGAAACCCTCCGCGCCTGGCGACGCTGAAGCAGCAGCCGCGGGAGCACCTCCTGCAGCCCGGGACAGAGGACATAATCCCAGCACGCGCCTCTCCTCGTCCACCAGCGCCGCCGTCTCGGCGTGCAGGTCCCCCAGCGGGTTTGTTCGAGGCAGCGGGCCGACCCGCCTTGCATGTAAGCCATGGCTGAAGCGATGTCACCGCCGTCGCTCGCCAGGCGCTCGACGTAGAAGTCCACGTCTGGAGTTAGGATGAGGCACTATACCGTCGCCTAGTCCACTGCCGCCACCACCAAACGTGTGTGCCGAGTGCGGCCCCCCAGGAATTCTACCATCACGAGCCCACCTGGACACACACCGCCTTTGCACCGGCCTCGACCGCTGTGCCGAACCTTGTGTCGCAACCACCAGCTGCTGCCCGCAAGCCCTCACAGGCAGAGTGGATCGCCTCGTCGCGGGGCTCGGAGGGCTCCGCGTACCAGTTGAAGAAGGCTGAAAGGGACCCTCGGGCTATCTCGGAAGGAAGCAGAGACAATGTCAACTCGCGAAAACATGAGCGGGCGGACTCGGCAAAGAATTGACCCGTACAGTAGGCTGATTCGGTCCACGCTTTGGGACCAAAGCTCCAGAGGACAGGCGGTAACGAGAATGAGGTAATGACCTCATATTCCAAATTATGTTGATGACGACGATGACGATGACGATGACGATGACGATGACGATGACGATGATGATGATGATGATGATGATGATGATGATGATGATGATGATGATGATGATGATGATGATGATGCGGATGATGATACGGATGAGGATGAGGATGAGGATGCCGATGATGTTGGTGGTGATTATGAAGAAGAAGAAGTTCATGACGTTGATGATGTTGATGATGAGAATGGTGATGATAATGATTACGATGTTGGCGATGCTGATGTTGTTGATGATGAGGCTGATGATGACGATGGCGATGACGATGACGATGGCGATGCTGATGATGCTGATGGTGGTAACGAGGAAGAGGAGGAGGAGGAGGACGAGGAGGAGGAGGAGGAGGAGGAGGAGGAGGAGGAGGAGAGAGGGAGGGGTCAAGCTAGGAGGAGCATGAGGATTGGGCTGAGGAGGAAGAAGAGGAGGAGGAGAAGGAAGAGGAGGAGGAAGAGGAGGAGGAAGAGGAGGAGGAAGAGCAGAAGCAACAGAAGCTGTGAGGACATGACAGAGGGAAATAGGATGGGGCAGTGGGCGGGAGGAAAGGCAGATAGAGGGCGGGCGCCCGACGTTGGTCTGGTTGAAGCATGCCGCCCAGCGGTATCTCCGAACGAGGTGCCACAGGTACCTCCTAACGGTAATTGACACTCGCCTCTTTAAATGGGAAGATCTCTCGGGAGCTATAACCAGCGGGCCCTACCAGGAGCTGCCTGTGGGCGGCAAGAGCCCCCCTCAGGTAGCTCCACAACTAGCTCCCTGTAGAGCCGCCCAGGGGTGGCTCCGTGTGGGACACCCCCGCCCGAAAGCCGCTCCAGGAGAGACTCTCACAAGGAGTTCCAGCAGAGCTTCGCACAAGTAACTTCCAACAGAGCCTCCCTCCGACAGATCCTGGTAGAGCTGCCTCCAGCAGCCTAGCTCTTAGCGGAGCCTCCGCACGTAGCTCCAGGAGAGCCTCCCCCAGCGAACTCTCAGCAGAACCTCCCACGGGCAGCTCCCATGAGTGAGCATAGAGACGGGAGGAAGGACGAGAACATGCCACCTGTCCAAAGGAGGCGTCCCGCAGGTGACCCCGAATGCAAATTTCCACCGGCAGGTAACTCCCAACGAGGCCGCCCCCACGGAGCCGCTCAGAGTAGAGCCTGCGCCATGTGGCTCCCAGCTGGACCTCCCAAACATACAATCAAACACTGACCAAACGGAACCTCAGAGGATGAGCGCAGAAGCGCATCTAGAGCCGTCGGTTGCGCCCAGATGCACGAAGTCAGCCTCGGGAAGGTCCGGTCGCGGAAGGACTTAAGGGACATCGAACCCCGCTCGAGACCAAGGTTGACCTCATCCCAAAATGTTTTGAGGGCAGCCCACCGCAGAGCCTACCATGGGCAAGCTCCGGTGCAGCCCCCATCGGGCGAGCAGCTCCGAGCGGAGCCGCGCAATCAGCAGCTCCGAGCAGGGCCTCCCCCGCGCAGCTCCAGGGCGCAGCGTGTGGCGGGGCACGCCCGTCAGGGGCTTCCGAGCGGGTCGCTCAGCGCAGGGCTTCCGCGGGCATCGCCCCCACAGCATCGCCCCCACAGGGAGGAGGGAGCGGAAGAGGCAAAGAAAGGACACTGGAAACAGGGGAGGGGGGAGGGAGGATGCAGATGGTAGGTGCGAGGGTGTGGGGTAAGGGAGAGGAGGAGGGAGCGGGGGAGATGGAGGGCAAGACCAGGGAGGGCAGGGCCGAGGCAGGCGAAGGGAGGGGCAACAACAGGAGTGGCGGGTGCAGGCACACGGGGAGGACGGCAAGGGGGACGGCAGCGAGGGGGAGGGAGGGGGCAAGAGGAAAGACGAGGAGGGAGGGAAACGAGGACGGAGGGGATAGTCGGGAGCGGAGCGGAGAGGAGGGAGAGAAAGGGAGGCAGGGGCGGAGTGAAATGGTCAGCCGCGAGAAGGGGGTTGGCGCTCTGCGGCGCTGCGCCAGGCTTTCGAGCCGCAGCGCAGTGCACAGTCGCGCCGCCCCCTGCGCTGGCCACCTGCGCATCTCAGGCAAGCAGGTGGCCAGCGCAAGGAGGCGGCGCGAGCCCCTACGGATTCGAAATCAAGCGAAGGAGTAGGCGGACGAAGGCAGGTGTGAACAAAACTCGTCGAAGATGACGTACGGCATGCCTCCCTTCGGGAGGGACGTCCGACCGGAACACACGGCACACGAGTATTGTGCGGTGAGGGCATTGGGCATTGGATAAGGCATCCTTAGATAAGAAATCCAGTGTCTGGACGCCAATGGAACACCAATGAAAACTTGGCCATGGATATCACCGACGCCCTCATCAGACACGGAGTCCTCCAGGGTTTGAAGCCTCCCGGTCCCGTTCGTCAACCAACGCCCTTTCCGTAGAACATTGTCATCCCAGCAGCATGGCCGCAAATCGCCATCATGCAGCTCATGCAAGACAATGTTTCAGCGCGCGCGGGGCCGACGCGCACACTACATGCTTACAGTATGAACGTCTAGGCGATGGCTATATGTACCGCCACCGGAGACGCCTGTCCCATGCCGGCAAGAAGATGTAGACCCAACCGGTGGCACGTCGGGAGATACACTTTCCAGTCGCCCCCGGACAGGCGCCCCCGATGGCGGCCAACTTTCCTTCCTACCGTTCTTCGTCCACGAATGGAAGGCCGCTCGGATGCCTGCCTGCACTTGGGTGGCACCCGCGCGGTGAGGGGATGGGGGCTGTCAGCGGCGGCCCGGCACCATTGAGCGCGAATTATTTTGGGGGGCGATGCAGTCAACCCGCGCGATAAGAACACACGATAAGGATGCAAGGGCCTTGGAAGGCCATGTCGGCACTTTCCGAGCGGGACGCAGCCAACAAAAGTGGCCAGGGATGGACCGTAGGGGGAGGATGCAAGGGTACCCTTGGAAAGCTGCTCATCCTTACTCTGCGGGTTGACCGACAGTGGGGGGAAACTAAAGTACCCTGTTCTGGGCCTCAAGGCCCCTTTGAGGCCCTAAAGGGCCCCTGAAGGGCCATTTTCTGCAGCCCTCGCTGCCCCCCCACCCCCATGTATCGCCCGCCCATTACGCGTCCTCCGACTGCACCTGGATAGCAGCCGCCCGGTGAGGGGATGGGGGCCGTCAGCAGCGGCCTGGCACCAGGCAGCTGCCCGTCGGCCAGCTGGCGTCGGCCAAGGAAGCTAGCCCGCCGCGGCGGGCCCGAGCAGCCGGTCGCCCAGGAAGATGGCGATGCTGTCGTGGAGGTAGCCTGCGTGGATCGCCGCGGAGGTTGCTCAGAGCATAAGAGAATTACAATAGAGAAGCAAAAAACAGCATAAATACAATTTCTCTCAGGTCCGCGCGGGTTTCTTGAATCGGCGCTGGACGCCCCTCCCTGGCGCGCGGAGCGCGCCAGGCGGCGCCAGAGGTGCTGCAAGGGGGGCCCAACGCCGATCCAAGAAATCCGCGCGGCCCTCCGAGGAATTATGTTAGTGTTGTTATTTGGCCTCCGATTCATGTAGATGCGAAGGTTCCCTAGGAAGACGCATTGAGTACTCATATCGTGCTATCATACGGAGCGCCAGATACTGAACGAAGGTACTGTTCTAGTCACGGCGAAGCCCGGCCACGAACTGGTTCCCTGAGCTACGTCTCAGGAGCGGCCCTCCTGAACTCAAAGTGGTCCTTATGTCAGCGTCTGCCCCAGCGGATGCCAGGCCAGTCGGGCGTTCGCTAACGGGAGGCAATGAAAGGGGGGGCGAAAACACGTGAACCTGTGGGGCCCGCCGTGGCAATTTAGGTGCCATTCAGGGCCCCATCTGGGACCCCCGCGTTGATTGCCCCCCGATGCCGTCCGCCAGATCCAAGAGACCGCTGCACCCATCCGGGCCAAGGGCGGGGCATGATACAGGTCTGATGTCAGTGTGTACGTAAGGTGGCGTTCCCTTGGCGGCCTGGCCGCCGCGAGTCGTGGTCACCCGCGACCATCACCAAGTTCTTGTCCCCTGCGTAGCGGCTGTGGATATCCCAGGAGTGGCTCGGGGCAATGAAGCTGTCGCCGTCGCCCGCGACGAAGAGCGCTGGGATGAACGTCGAGCCGGCGTTCTCTATGGGCTTCAGCCGGAACATGTCGAGGCCCGACCTCTTCTGGATGGTGGACCTGAGGGGCAACGAGAAGGGGGAGCCCACAAAAGGGGGAAAACATCAAGCTGGAATCGGCGATGCACCGCCGATAGATCGGCGATAGGCCCCCGATAGCAAATGCGCAGTCCTCTGCGGGGTGGAAATATCAGACCCCGATCGGCGATCAATGGGCGATGGATCCCCTATCAGACCCATATCGGCGATGCATCCCCCCTACCCTATTCCCCCCCTACCGTTCCCCCTGAGGACCTCAGCACCCTCAGGGCCGCGCTCACCAGCACGCCTGGCCTCCGCCCGAAGACCAAGTTCACTGCGACCTCAGTGGAAGAGAAAACGCCATAAACATGAGCCCGCTCTCTACGATTGGCAACACGAGCCGTCATCAAGGATGCACCCCCTCCCCCACCCCACCTGCTAACGTCATGGTTCGCGCCGGCGCCGATTGGGAAGTGCCAGGGATAGCTAATTCCCAAATGGCGGCCCCTTCGCGAATCGTCGTGTTCCCAACTGCCTCGCTCCCCACTCCTCCCCCCCCCGGTAACGGCCGCTACCGCTAGCGGATACAAAAAACGTGCCCCATCAACTTTCGGAGGCCCGCGCGGATTGCTTGTATCGGTGTTGGGTGCTCCTGGAGGCGCCTCCGGCGAAGCTCCTGGCGCGCTCCGCGCGCCAGGGGGGGGTCCAACGCCGATCCAAGATATCCGCGCGGACCTCCAACGGTCTGGGTTTATGTGGTTGTTTTTTCTCCCGTAGGCCGCCCGCAGGGGCGTGAAAATGATCGCGCTTCGCGCGTCGCGGTCTGGGCTGGAGAGCTGCCTTTTTCAAGTGGGGCGGCGCGAGGGCCGGCAAGGATCGGGGATGGCGGCTCTTGTCTTCTCAACCCTGCTGTGCTGTTGGGCCCTCGCTTTGAATCCGCGAGACCTCTCGCGCGAGCTGGTGGAGGTCCGCGAAGGGGCTGTCTAATATCAGCGCGGCGATGGACGGGTCCCGGTGCCCGTGCAGGAGGGCCGTGGCGGCACCCATGGAGCGCCCCCACAGCGCCACGGTGGAGACCCGCCCACTCGCGCGGAGGAAGTCAATGACGCAGCGCGCGTCGTCCTTCTCGTTCCATCCCAAGGTGATTGTGTCACCTGAATGTTGCTCTCATTATTGCTGGTAACGGTCGTCAGGGGAAGGGAGGGGGGAGATCGGGGCCCTGGGCAACGGCAACGCTTGAATGGGGCAGGTTGGAACGGGGGTGCGTTGCGATCGCCGTAGCATGCTCGCGAGCAACAAGATGTGTGGGGGCGTGCTCCAGGCCACACCCCCTCCACACGATCGTTACAATTATCGGGGATGGTGGGGGGGTGGCCCGGGGTAACGACCGTTACGCGGGGGGGGGGGGCGCGGGTAACGACCGTTACGCGACCGTTCATCGCCTTCGGACATGCCGCACCCGGCGAAGTCGAACGCAAAGAGCGTCACGCCCATCTCGACAATCATCTCGAGGTGCTCCTGTTAGGGCGCGGGCAGAAACATCTGGTCAGCAACGTTTGCTCGGCGTGCCGCAGCGGCGGTCCCCCGCGACACGCTGTGCCCTGCAAGCGGGTGGCGTGTCGCTCCGCTCCGCGAAGCGGGAGGCTGGGAAACAGCTCGGAGCGTTGACATTGGGAATGCAGACTCGAACTTGAGTAGCGTGTCACGCCGAAGCACACGCTCCTGATCGTGAGAGCAAGCTTCGGACGTCCGCGGACGGTTCTTCTCCGCCGGCGAGAGGCACCCTCCACTTGCCTTCTCCCGCGTCAGGGTGAGCGACGCACATTTTTCAATCGACCGTTTTGGGCCACATGAAGTCGAAGGCACACCGCAATCCCAGAGAACTGTTTCTCCAGCCTCGCCCCCGAGCTCCATCGCCTCGATGCGGCAAGACGAGTTGCCGTGCATGTACACGACACACGGGTGCCGCTTCTGCGACGAGCAGTAGGGCTGCCACCAAGAGCACTCCAACGTGAGGCCACTGGCATTCTTCACCTGAAGATCTTCGCGGACAACCCGGCTCCGCTCTTTCCTTCTGCTCCTGCTACTGCTGCTGCTGCTGCTGCTGCTGCTCCTCCTCCTCCTCCTCCTCCTCCTCATCCCCAGCTTCCTTCGCCTCGGCCCCCTTCTTATCCACATTCTCTTCCTGCTCCAAGTCCATTCTCCTGCTCCTCCTCCTCGTCGTCCTCCTCCTCCTCCGCCACCTCCTCCTCCTGCTCCTGCTCCTTCTCCTCCTCCTCCTCCTCCTGGTTCTCAGCGCCCCGGCCCTCCGCCTCGGCCGCCCCCCCCCCCGCCCGCCCCCCCCCACCTGCACTCCTCTCCTGCACCTCCTGTCTCTCTGTCTCTTTCCACACTCTTGACTCACAGTGCAAAACGCGGTGCGTCCTTTGTCCAATCGGCCTCCCTGATCGCATGCTCTGGCATCCTGTTGGTCCCGAGCGAGGGGCGTGGAGGCTTAGAACATGTCTCAGAAGGTCGGGGGACCTCCGCCGAGCCTTGTGAGAATGCCCGTGCCTTCTCATTTCTCCCTGACCTTGCTGCCGATCCTGGTATCCCCCTCCCCTCTCCACACCGCCACTCTGCCTCCACCGCCGCCCCCGCTCTCGGCCTGGACGTCCTCGCGGATGTACTCGTGCCGCTCCAGCTTGAAGTGCGGTGGCCCGAGGTCTTGCACCTCGGGCAGGGGAAAAGAGGAGGAGGAGGAGGAGGAGGAGGAGGAGGAGGAGAAAGGGGAGGATGAGGATGAGGCTGCGGAGGAGGATGAGGAGGAGCACCTGGTATTCCGCCCGCGGCGGGCGGATCACGGCGCTGACAAGCTCCTCCAGGACAGGGGAGCTTGGCGAGGAAGAGAAGGGGGGGGGAGGAACACGCAGACGAGCAGCTGCAGGAGGAGGCTGAGGAGCAGGACAGACGCGAAGCGGAGCGGAGTGCGCTGAGTCCGCCGAGCGGCGGGCGGCCCCCCAAGGAGGAGGAGCAGGAAGAGGAGGAACAGGACGAGGAGGAGAAGGACGACGAGGACCTCCAAGGGTCGGTGGGGGATCTAGATGCCCCGCCCCCTGGATGGTCCTCTGTCCCACGTCTTTCTTCGGCGCCTTACAATATCCTGCTAACGCTACAAGCAACCAGTTTGATCCCCCCCACCAGCGACCTCCGCTGCGGCAGCGTTCAGCTTGAACCTCAATGCTACCAGATCTCAGCTGTCACGGGCGTTCTGTGGAGGGGAAGGAGGGGAAGGAGCAGGACCAGGGTGAGGACGAGGATGGGGGAATTTTGAACTTGAAGCTCTAGCGATTTCTGTAAGGATCGAAACGGGTTAGAGGTACGAAGGAATCCTCCAGCAGAGAAGGCGGCGGAATGTCATGCTGCTGCGCTGCTGGCCCTCCTTGGCGGGGGGTGGCGCCACGGCCGGACCCTCTTCGACATCCTGGAGAGAACCTGCCCCGGGAGAGGTATGGGGGATGCGTCTTGCAGGTCGAGGAGGAGGATGACGAGGAGGAGGACCAGGCACAGGGGAGGACGACACGACGTATGTGGGAGGGCGAGGAGGCGGATGACGGGGACTGGGCGGAGGACAAAAGGGAGGGAGGACGAGGAGGAGCAGTAGGACGAGCCTGAGGTTTGGGGACGAGCCCAAGGAGCAGACGAGGAGCAGGAGGACGAGAAAGGGGTGGGGGGGATGCCGAGGAGGAAAAGGAGCGCCGCACTCTGCCGCGCCTCGGCCGCCGTGATCAACGGTATCCCGAACACTAGCGGCGCAGCAGAGGCGAAGACGGAGGCGGAGGCGGAGGAGGATGATGAGGAGAATCACGATAACGACAATCGCGGGAGGAAAGCAGATCCGTAACGACTACGACACGCCTCGCAGCCTGGACTCCTCGGCAACGACCCCATGGACGCAAGGCAGCTTGGCACGGATGCCCCGCACGGGACGTGTCCACGATGCTGCCGATCCGATGGATCGCGCCTCCGTGTCCAGACCGCGATGGAATGGACATGGGTACCTTGGTCGCTTGTGAGAGGAGGAGGAGGAAGAGGAGGAGGAGCAGGATCACGACGACGAGGGCGATGACAAGGACAAAAAGGAGGAATATGAGGGGAACTAATGTTGCGCATCTGTAAAATGTTAACGGACGGTAGCGGTCGAACATGAAAGCATCCACCGTCGGGAAAGCCTGTCCCGAGGCGGCCCGAAAATTCATATCCCGACGTGCCACCATGTTCTACACCTCCCCAGCCGCTCTGGGGCAAGCATCCCCGATGGCTGAAACCGCACGTGTGCACTGCTCATCGTCCGCTACATGATGCATCGCAGTCGGGCGTTGCTGCATGGGGGGGGACATACACGTGTCGTGTCCCTTTTGGGCCCCAGGGGGATTCTTCAGGGCCCCTTTAGGGTACAAAAGGAGCACCTTTCTTCACCCCCTAACCTATCGGCCCCCCGCGACGCAACGGCCGACGCGGCACTGGGCGCCATTTGCCAGAACGCGCGCGGAGCAACGGTAGGCATGAACCCGTGTCTATTCTGCGGCTGCGCTCGAAGGCCCATGCGTACATATTGCTTCGCCCCGCCGAACCCCGCTGCAGCGGCTGCGTGCGACAGGAGCACTTCCTGTGAGAAGCCGACGGACACATGTTCAGTCGAGCTTGCAGCCACCCTGGGCTCTTGTGGGGCCCTGGGACCGTCGGGGGGTGTGAAGCTTCCTTGGGGCACCTGCTGGCAGGCCGATCTCGTGCGTGGTGTACCCGTCGCATCGGGGCCCAGAGGTTGTCCTCCCTCATCTGTTTCTCCACTTGCAGGAGGAGAGGGGCGGCGGCGGCGGACCTCTGCAGGTGCGCGAGTCTGAACGCTGGCATTCAAAGAATTCGCCTGGCAGCTCAAGTGCCTAGAGTGTGATATAATTAGCGGTGCTTCGCACGTGGGGGGGGGGGGGGCTCGAACGCGCCTCGGCGAACCCAGCCCGGAGATATCCCTGGGGCCAGGCCGCCCAACTCGACAAAGTCGGGGGTGGCCGCTAACAGTTTAGCAGGCGACAGGGACCGAGCCGAAAAGGAGTTTTTTAAAAAGGCCCGAGCGACGCGTCCGGGAGAGGAAAAACGTCCGAACCCAGAAGAGCGCCGAGGAAGACGAGCGACGCGGACAGCGCGGCGAAATTCGAGGCGCCTCGCCCCACGCCACCGCCACACCCAGCAGCTTGACCGACGGAGCCACAGGGGCCCAGAGCCGCCGTACAGGCCAGCGGACGAGGCGAGGGGCACGGATCAAGCACCATTCGCCGCCGTTGCCACTCTCCGCGCTCCTGCGGGTTCCTCTATAATTAGACGAGAGATCGCGCGAGGACGACGAGGCGACGTCTCCTACGAGGGAAGGTCGAGGAAAGGAGGAGGAGGCGGCGGCGGGTCCCAGCCTAAATCAGCGCGCGCAGCTGCACCAGGTAGGTGGGCACCACGGGCGCGAAAGGCAGGGGCAAGCGAACGAGCACGCCCAGAAACTCGGGATCGTATGCTCGCTCTCAGGCGGAGGAGGAGGAAGAGGAGGAAGCCAGCTCGTCGTAGCATCCCCTTGTCCTGCAAGCCAATCCCGCTGTCCCGCCTCCGCTTCCTGGGGCCCCATACGGATCCCAAGACCTCACATACTCCCCTGGCGCCCGCTTCAAACCACCATCTCTTCTCTTGTGAGCATCGTTTAACCGATCCCCATCCCCACCAGCGTGGGCTGGACCCACTGGCCGATTTACCCCCCTGATAGGGGATATATGCTACTCTCTTCGGGTTTCGAAAGGCATATCCCCAACTGAGTTGGTGAGGCGGTGGAGCTCGACATGTGGATGGGGATGGGAATAGGGATCGGTTCAACGATACTGATCTTGGGTGCTAGGGAACAGAGCTTCCAAACATACGCAACACCTGCACCGATGGAAAGCGGCTCCTCCTAAAGGTCGCGCTCCGGTTAGGGGTGTGTCAAAATCAACTCCCAAACACGCGACAATGTCACTACGGTGAGGGCATTAGAGAAGGGACCTTTAGATCAGGAGTCCAGTGTCTGGACGCCAGCTGAAAACCAATTGAAGCTTGGCCATGAAGATCAACGCCGCCCTCATCAGACAAGGAACCCTCCAGGGTCTGGAGCCTCCTGGGCAGCGGGAATAGTCATTCTCGAAAGGATGACCGGAAGGAGGAAGGAGGAAGACAACGACGACGGCGACAACGGCGACAACGAGTCCACCCGCTTAGAGGCGCTCCTCGTAGCATCCCCGGATGGCTCCGATCGGCCCTGCGCGTCTTGCCCGCGACACTGGCGGTGGGCTGTCCTTCTTGCCGGCGGGCGGCGACCGACGACCACCATCGACGAGCGACGGCGTCGTCGAGCGGCGACGACAGCGTCGACCACGAGGGCAACGACGACGAACGACGAGCGGCGGCGGCGGCGACGGCAGCGACGACGACGGCCCACGACGACCCCCGACGGCCTCTAGAGGTCTCCAGAAGTTCCGGGAGGTCTTTAGAGTTCCAGGAGGGTCTCCAGACACGCCTGCGAACTGAGGCCCTCCAACCTCGATCGACGAACCTCGACGGCAACGGCGACAACGACGACGGCGACGACCCTTGAACCTCGACAGCGGAGAATGAGAAGCATGGGGAGGCAGAAAAACGAAGACAGGAAGGGAGAGACGAAGGCACCGAAAACGAGGACTCATATGAGCAGATGAGGAGAAGGAGGAGAAGACGAAGGAGAAGGAGGAGAAAAGCAACGACGGGCGAGGAGGCGCAGTGATATTGTTTGCCGGCAGGCCCTGAGAATCGAGCCACGACGACGGTGCACAGAGCACACGCACTACAACACACACACACACACAAATAGGCGTCGCGGTCCTGTGCTCAGTGACAGGGCGTAGAATGTCGAAAAACAGCAAGCACGCGCGCGCGCGTCTAAGCCCGCCCGAGCACTCAGAGACCACTTAAGGTCCCGCAGCCGTCGGCCATATATAATCATCCGGGCATGGATGGGACAGTGCACTTTTGCGTCGGCGGCTGGGCAGAGGGCGACTGCTCTGGCGGAAAGGCTACAGGGGACACGCTGTATGCAAATTAAGGCCGCGATGCACGGAAGGAGGGGGAGGATCCCCGGCGCGACGGGAAGAGAGGAAGCCGGGCCACTCAGAGTTGCCGGCTGCGGCGGGGGGTGCACCGAGGGGGGGAGCAGCGTCGGGACAGGGCTGCACTGGGCTGCACTGAGCTGAAGCTTGGGGAAGGCAGCCTGGAGCTGCAGCTGGTGATGGGAAACAAAACGAAGCAGAGCCCGACCCAGTGGACCGGGCACAGTCCGGGGATGGGCCAGTGCGTCGATGCCTGCGGACCTGCGAGGCGCGTGCGAGGCACGGAAGGCGAAGTTGCACAACTGGGCAGCCCCAGCGGCGGGAGCTGCGCCGCAAGCGGGCACGATGGGGATGGGACAACACACACACACACACACGAACACGCGCACACGTACAGCTGGTGCGCAAATAATAACGACGGCGCTGCCGACGTTTGTGTCGCCTTGAATTCTCGCACGCTCTGCCGCTCCCACTAGGTCAGCCGACAACGTGTGCTGGGCATCGCAAGCAGCACGAAGCACAACTCCCTGTGTTCCCAAATGAGGCCCACAGGGATGTGACAACCTGATGGCCCCGACCTCGATGCGCGAGGAGCACGCATCTTCGCGTTCCCGCGGTTGACCTGGTTGCGAAAGCATGGGGCTTCAAAGGGGAGGAGGCGAAAGAGGATACGAAGCGAAGGCGCGGCGGCTCACGCCAGCCTACGTTGGCGCAGCGACAAAGCGAAGACGACGCCGACAACGCCGGACGATCGGCGACGACCTGGAGCGGCGACCGCGGCGGCGGCCGACCGGCCTCGCGGCCATCGGGCGCCAGCCCGCCGCCCGCCGACTCCGCGCGGGGCTTCCTGGGGGGGGGGGGCTGCCAGGGCGGGGCCACAGGCGCGGCTCGGCGGAGGCTCGGGTCGGACGAATGGGGGGAGGGGTAGTCAAGGGGGGTGCGCCGGGAGACGCCTGGAGGCACCAGCGTATCGACGACAGGCGCCCAACGGCGGGGCCGGAGCCAGCTGCATGCAGCAGATGTCGTACACCCCCCTGTGCTTACCATCGCCCGGACGCCCATTCCCCGCGTATTTGCCGGTTTCGTCCGTGTTGTGTTTTGCCGCAGGATGAGCTGCCCGATGGTCCAGATATTCTGACGCCGGCCCCGCCGAGCACAAAAACACACGTCCGAGCGATGCCAAGCCTTTCCCTCTTCCTCCCTGTCGTCCAACCCGAGAGGCGCAGAGGGAGCAGGGCCTCCTCGCGTGGCGAAACGAATCACGACGTGCGGTTTTTGGCAAGTTTCGGCTCTTTTGCGGGTCTGTGACGGCGGCCCCGAGGCCGTCAGAAGACACTCGGGATGAGAAGCCTCCTCCGGGGATGTGGTCTAGACCTCCGAGGCCCCACGCTGCAACAAACCCACGAAGTCGGTTGTCTGGAGAGGCCGGCTCGGGGAGAAGGAGAAGACCCTGGGCTGCTTGCTGCTCAAAGGCGCCGTGGTGCCATCGGGTTTGCCGTGATCACGGGCGGCACGGGGAGGAGGAGCACGGAGGGGGCGCGGACAAGGAGGAGGGGGGAGAGGGGACTCGGGGGAGGAGGTGGGGGGTTGAGGAGGAGGAGGGGAAGAAGAAGAAGAAGAAGAAGAAGAAGAAGAAGAATAAGAAAAAGAAAAGGAGGATGCGGAATGAGGAAGAGCCAGAAGCAGGCAAGCTGGAGGAAGGAGAGGAGGATGATGAACCGGGAGGAGGGGCGAGGGAGGGGAAGAGGAGAGGGAAGCGGAGGCGGATGAGGTGGAGGGGGCGAAAGAAAAGGAAGGAGGAGGATCAGGTAACGGTATGAGGCATGATGGTCACACGATTGCTGCTGATGGCGATGATGCTGTTATTGTTGTTGTTGATGGTGATGATGCTGACGCTGATGCTGATTAGGATGATGACGATGCGAGGAGGAAGAACATGATGATGCTGGTGCTCCGTCTGTTGATGTTGATGCTGAGCTCTCATTTCTCAAGGATAAATATGGTTGATCCTCCCCCCTCCGGTACCGATTGTGGCTTTCAATTGAAATGACCCTCCCGGGGCTCGCATCCTGGGAAACTCTTGGGGCTCAGATTGGGCCCCTGGCCCCCGAACTACAACAGCTCCCGCCTGATACGCCACCACAGATTATTGATAGATCTGGCTGTTGGGGATGACTCCCATGCAATGTATCCAGGAAGCGCGCTCTCGCTGGAGACTTGCGGATCATGTGCTCACGAATCGCTGCATCGTCGCTCTCGAATCGCTCTCTCGCTATGCACTTCCTCATGCTTTCTTTACTCAGGAGTTGCACTCTCGCCAGAGACCTCCTTGCCATCCCCTTTTGCTGAGCCCTCTTGCTAACCCCTCTCATCCTCCATTTTTCATTCCCTTCCTCTTGTCTCTTTTCTTCCTCCCTCCCTTTCTCCTCTCATTTCTGCATCGCTCTCTTGATATTCCATTCGATATATTATACCTGTTCTGCAGGCTTCGCCAACTACACGTGGCAGGGAAGGAAGACATACCACCCAAAGAGGATACGATCAAGGACGAAGAGTACGGATACCGAGGGCCTGGGAGATACATGTAAGTGGCACGTGCGCATCCGAGAGCAAACAGTATTGAAAAGCAGGTTGAGGTTGATGCTGTTCTTTATGCGGTTGGTGATGAGGTTGAGGTCGAGATTGAGGTTGTTTGTGTTGATGTTGGTGATGATGATGGAACTGATGATGGTGATGATGCTGATGCTCGTGGGGGTTCAGAATAGGTCGATGCTGATAAGAATGAGGATGGTGACAACAATGATGATTATGATTACGATGGTGGTGAGGATGGTAATGATGATGCGGGTGCTGCTGATGATGTTGATGCTCATGCTGATGATGGTGATGGTGGCGATGATGATAATGTTGAGGATGAAGGCGGCGATGCTGATGACAATGATGACAGTGATGATAATGAAGAAGACGATGCTGATAATGCTGCTGAAGAAGCTGATACTGAGGCTGATGCTGATGCTGATGATGCTGCTGCTGACGGCGACGATGATGATGCTGAGAATGGTGATGATGCTGATGCTGATGCTGATGCTGCTGCTGATGATGCGTTCACTGTGTGCGTGTCATACTTGCGCAGGGGCTATGTTGCTCTTCTCTGTGGCATTCCAGTTCCAACTGATGTCCCGAAGGAAACATGTGATGCTGATAATCATGATGTAGATGATGCTGATTATGCTGCTGATGTTTATGCTGATGCTGATGCTGATGATGCTGATGCTAATGCTGATGCTGAATGTGGTGCTGATATTGATGCTGATGCTGATGATGATGCTGATCATCATGATGCTGATATTAATGCTGATGCTGGTGCTGATGATGGTGAAACTGTTGATGATGATGATGCCGATGCTGGTGCTGATGCTGGCACTGAATATGATGAAGATGCTGGTACCGGTGCTAATGCTGACGCTACTGCTGACGGTGATGCTGATTCTGAGTACGAGGAGGATGCTAGCGCTGACGATGCGGATGATGCTGATGATGCTCATGCTGATGATGATGGTGACGATGATGATGGTGCTGAGGAGGGAGGGTCCTGCTGCTGCTGATGATGGTGCTCCTGATGATGGTGATGCTGATGAGTATTGTGCTGGTGATGATGATGACGGTGCTGATGGTGATGATGATGGTACGATGGTGATGACGATGGTGATGATGCTGCTGATGCTGATGATGCTGGGATGCTGATGCTGATGCTGCTGATGATGGCTCTTATTGCGTGCGTGTCATCCCTGCGCAGGGGCCATGCTACACGTCTCCGTATCGTTCCAGGTTTAACTGAGGAGTCCCTAAGGGAATCCATGATGCTGATGAAGATGCTGCTGATGATGCTGTTGATGTTGATGCGGATGAGAACGATGGTGACGCTGCTGATGCTGATGCTGATGCTGATGATGCTGACGATGATGTGCATGCTGATGCTGATGCTGATGCTGATGATGCTCATGCTGCCTTTAATGATGATGCTGACGTTGATGCTGATGCTGCTGATGATTATGATGCTGATGCTGATGATGATGATGATTATCATGATGCTGATAGTGATGGTGATGCTGATGCTGTTGATGATAATGTTGATGCTGATGCTGATGCTGATGCTTCTGATGATAATTCAGAATGATGATGAGGATGGTGTTCCTTCTGCTGCTGATAGTGATGCTGTTCATGCTGATGCTGATGATGATGCTGCTGATGATGAAGCTGATAGTAGTGATGCTGACGGTGATGGTGATGACGATGCTGATGATGCTGTTGACGGCGATGATGATGACGACGATGATGATGATGATGCTGATGATGATGATGATGATTTGTCGATGCTGGTCATGCTAATGTTAATGATAATGATAATGATGATGATGGTGATGATGATGATAATGATGATGACTGTTGTTTATGATTATGATGTTGATGATGCTGATTATGATGATGATATTGATGATGCTGACGTGGGACAGGCTGACGACGGCGAGGGCCATGCAGCCGCCCCCGTCTCCTGCGTCCGATGAGCCTGCCGCGCCCCATTGCGGCGGCCACCGCCACGCAGGGCCCCGCCCCTGGAGAGCCTCGGGGCGGGCTCGGGGGACCCTCGGGCCCAAAAAGGCTGCCGTGGTCGTTGACGCGACCGTCGCCGCCGCGACCGTTGCCGCCGTCGCCATGGCCGTGGCCGTGGCCGAGGCATGTTGCCGGTGTCGCCGCCGCCGCCGCCGCCCCCACCGCCGTCGCCGCCGTCGCCGTCGCCGTCGCCGTCGCCGTCGCCGTCGTCGCCGCGGTCGTCCCCGCCGCCGCCGCCGCCGCCGTCGCCGTCGCCGTCGCCGTCGCCGCCGCCGTCGCCGCCGTCGTAGTCGTCGACGTCGTCGTCGTCGTCGTTGTCGTCCTCGGGGTCCTCGGGGTCGAACTGGGGGGGGAGGCGGCGGCAGGGGGGATGGAGGGGGAGCATGGATGGGAAGGGAGAGATGGAAGCGGGGAAGGCGGGGAGGGGAAGGTGGAGGCATGCGGAGGCATGTGGAGGCAGAGAAAGAGGAAGGAGGGAGAGCACGGCTGGAAGGCCGCGAGCGCCCTTCCAAGCCGCCACATGCGTTCCCGCACCCGCACCGCCAATCGCGCCCAGCACACGTCCCGCCCCCCCACCCCGCTCCATCTCTCCAGTGTCCGCTCACAGGGGGGCAATTAACGTGGAGTTGTGAGGCCTGCACCTGTCTTGCACCTTCTGGGCCCGCGGTGGCAGTAGGGGCCGTTCAGGGCCACTCTCCTGCACCCCTCGATCCCGCCACGCTTACTGCCCCCCCGCTGCGTTCCCCCACCCCCTCCTGGGAGCGGCTCTGGCCACCCCTTCCGGTCACGACAGCGGACGGAGGATGGGGGAGGCCGAGCCGTGACCTCTGCTGCGGTGCCGTGGCCTGGCCGCACCACACCGCTGCTCGCGCCCCTGTGGCGGGCCCGCCGTGGCTCCAAGCCTGCACGGGCGCTCTGGCGGCTGCAGGGCAGGGCCCGGTGGTGGCCCCAGGCCTCGCCATACTCAGAGCTCCGAATCATCAGGGCTGGGGTGGTCGGGGGTAGCTACAGATTCGCGTCACGGGGCCCAAACTGGAGTTACCCCCGACCCCAGTTATATCCAGGATAATTCGGGCGCCCAACAGTCCAATATACGGCAGGCGTCGCGGGGAAGAAATCTCGGCAAGTGTTTCTGGTTCGTCTTTGCCTCTGGGGGGCCGTGCTTTCTTGAATGGGGGGGCTCGCGGGGCCGCCAGAAAGCGATCCGTGCCGAAAGACCGGCCCTGGGGATGGGCGCCCCTGCGTGCGCGGGGAGGAGCGAGGCAGCACGCAGAATCAAAGGGTGCGAGTGGCGCAAGAGCGAGCTTGGATTAGGCTTGCCCTGTCTGCACGTTGTCTGGGAGACGCGGGCTTCGGCTTCTGACACCGCGTGGATCGCTGAGCCTTGAGCGATCGCAGCTCTCCTATAGTGCGGATCGTTCGACACCGCCCAACTCCAGGCCACTGGCGGCGGCAAACTACGAGCGCAAACGCTAGGGCCCCCCCGCGGCGCGAACCTTCCGTAACACGCGCGAGCTGGAGAAAAAACAGGTACGGAGCCAGGTGCACCCTGACCGCCTCAGGGGCAACTCCTCGTTTCGTTTGGCCCCCAGCCCTCTCGTTCTCATCACCCACATGCTCCCATGTCTGATCATCCTCGCCAGCACCGCAACACATTCCCACCCTCTGACCAGGATACAAAAGATCCCTGCTCCTGGTGACGGAGCTCTTCCAAGAGACACCCAACATGCCCCTTATGAGGCATACCAGGGAACGTCCAAAGAAGCTCTGACCAACAATCCTGGCACAGTGGCGGGATGGGCCGAAGGCCACTCGATCCAATTGGCGCCTGCTGTTGGTGTTCCTTTCTCTCTCCTTCTCGTTATCGTCGTCATCGTCCTTTTCCTCCTCCCATGTCTGCCTGCTCCTCCTCCCATGTCTGCCTGCTCCTCCTCCTACGTTTCCTCCTCCTCCTCCTGCTCCTCGTCGTGGCCCTCCCGAATCCGCGAGGTTCCCAGGGCCCGCCAGCCAGTACCCCTTCTTGTCCGCCTCCGCCTGCGGGCGGCCCGCAAGCACTCCCCCCTCCAGAGAGCTTTTCGACTGGCACAGCACTGCGACGGTCCGTGGTGACGGATCTGCTCTCACGGCGGAGATGAACGCGGACGGAACTGAACTAGGAGAGGCTCGAAGTACACAGTCATCGCGCTACCAAAAAGAGAGCACGCTCAGGAACGAAGGGGCTTGTCTAGCGGACCTAAGAACCACACAGCTCCACAACATAAATCGAAGGAGCGGCCCGCAAACCAGAGCCCCTCCTAAGCCCAAAGAGGTCCTTGTTTCGGCGTCTTCACTGAACACGAAGTATCCGGTCGGCCAAGGAGCTGGGTGTATAGGCGCCTCAACCTCCGGAGCTGCGGGACGCTGCAACGCACATGCTCCGAACTCGTTCGCCGAATTCCTCAGCTCCTTGGCCGACCAAGCGGGGTGGTGTATACGTCGAACCCATTCGAAGTACCGAGCGTTTGATATACTCAAACTCGCCTACATGAATCTGTTCTTTCGAAAGACCTGGATTGAAAAGGCGAGCAGTGAATCGGAGCCCATGCCCTGTTTCAATCGCATTTGTCATTTGCGTTGCCTCCTCGGTGTGACTCTTTCCGAGGCGCGGGTGCCGGTCCCCGCGCATCGCCTGAGTTCTCCCTCGTTTCATCTCTTCACGCTGGCGTTCCCCCCGTCTAGCCTCAATCATTGTTCTTAATCTCGTCAGAGTGCTGCTTCCCAGAGGGATGGATCCGATCCCATCTCGTGGCACGGTTTATCCTTGCTTTGTCTCTTCAGTGTGGCTCCATCCAGACAAGGGGATACTTTTCATCGCACATCGCCTCACTAAACTTTCGCTTCGTCTCCTCTGTGTGGCACGTTCCCCGCCTGGCCTGGCTCATCTTTTGCTTTGTCTCGTCAACGTGACTTGTTCCAGGAATGGGGTGCCTGTCGCCGCACATCGCCTCACTTATCTTTCGCTTCGTTTCCTCACATGGGCACTTTCCTCGTCTGGATGTTGCTTTCATTCGTCAGCGTGGCTCTTTCCCAAAAAGAGAATGCCTGTCACCGCGCATCGCCTCACTTCTCTTTCGCTTCGCCTCCTCAGCGTTGCACTTCCCTCGTCTTCCCTAGCTTATCTGTTGCGTTGTCTCGTCAGCGTGGCTCTTTCCAAAAGAGGGGCGCCTGTCACCGCGCATCGCCTCACTTATCTTTCGCTTCGTCTCATCAGTGTCGCACTTTCCTCTACGGGCCTGGCTTATCGTTTGCTTTGTCTCGTCAGCGTGGCTTTTTCCAGAAAGAGGGGTGCCTGTCACAGCGCATCGCCTCACTTATCTTTAGCTTCGTCTCCACATTGCGCTGCATTCCAAGTAAAGGGTGTCGGCCACCCCGCATGGCCTGACTTATATTTGGCTTTGCCTCCTCAGTGTGGTGCTACCGTGGTGTTTTCCCCGTCATGTGTTACGGTCCCCTCGTTTTGCCTCGCTCATCTTTCTCTTGGTGGTGCGTTCCATGATGGTTGAATGCACCTGGGGTCTGCGTTGCCCAGTTTGCAAACCCACGGCTTGCAGCAACACGGTATAATTATACATAGAAGAAGCACTCTGCCTCCCCAACACCAGCGCGTGTGTTGTGCCGCGTGAAGGTGAATGTGTCTTTTCGCTCTTGCCTGAATGGGCAGTCCCCGGAGGGACCCATGTAAGCAGTGTCAGCTTCTCCTGAACAACTGAAGTGGGACACGTACCGACTCCAATGTGCCAGAGCCCCGTCTTCAACCCTTGCAATGCGTATGTATAGTGCCGCGCAGCAGGACCTGTCTCATTCGGTGGTTTATACGACGCGGGAACCTCGCTCAAGGAGGGTCCGCTTGGTGGCCCCCTTTCCAAGAAATCACAAGTGAACGCAAAGGGGTCCAGAGCTACCTGCCGCCAGATGGTTCGATCCTCCGATGGCGAGACCGAGGATGGACACACTTCAATACGGGCCTGGAATGGAACGCGGGGTGCCGCATCATGAGATGTACACTGAAACCACCAATCCCCGCCAGCCGGGGGGGGAGAAGGCCTGTAAGAAGTGTGGTTTCTCCGTCTCCCGATTCCCCTTCCTCTAACAGCCCAGCATCTCGAATGGCGGGGGCGCGGGTGACGAGATCGCCAACGTACCTCTGGGGCCCGATGGCCATTTTCCCAAATTGTTCACGCCCCCTACAAGCCTCTAGTATAGACGCAACGGCGCCAAACAAACCCAACGTTGGCTTCGGAATTTCCCTAAGAGGCCCGGAGGTCTCGTTAAGATTGCACTTGGAGGCCCCCACAGTTCCCAAGATAGCGATGCTGAGAGCCACAGGGGATAACACATCATTGACATCGTATATCGTGTGCGCGTGCGCTTTGAACCGTGAAGGCAGTGTTTCTCTCCTCGAGTACACGAGGCACGTGCTGGCATCAATTCTAACAATAGGACATCGCGCCGCGGCGGCCTGAGGAAGGAGGATGCCTCAGCCGCCCTGGCCAGTGTCCCACTAGCTGCTCGCCACCGCTGCCCGTCGGGCGAGCAGCAGAGGAACTTCGCGGCCAAAACGCGCCTGGAGCTCGCGGCCACCTGCCGCTCGCACTCAGCTCGGCGCCACGTCAATCGCGCGCACTGCCGACAGGCCACAAACCCGCCTCCTTCGCACACGCGACGTGCGGCCCCACCACTCGGCACCTGCAGCGCCTTCACGTCTTAGCCCTGCTGCAAGAGGTGACTTGCAGCCGGTGGCCATCTGGGCACACTGCATCAGTGCCCGATGCTGCGCACGCCGCGCAAAACACGCCGTGGAGCTCCCTCTCCCCGCGCGAGGCTAGGAGCGCCAGCGGCGCGGGCGCGAGACTCACGGCAGCGTCCACCGGGAAGCGGCCGCGGAGCACCGACAGGCGCCGCCGTGATGTTCCCGCTCGGTGCGCAAAAACCTCTGGACGAGCGCCCTCGGCATGAACGGCATCGCCACCACGACCATGCCGAGAGGGGCGCACGGCCTCGCCGCCGACCGCAACCCCGCCCTCGTCGTCGTCGATGTCCTCGGACTTCGCCTCGACGAACGCGCCCTCCGACACCTCCAGGACCACGCAGTTCTCCCGGACAAACTGCGCCCTCGCAGCGGCCTCGGACAGTACCTCGTCCAGATTGTCGCCGTCCACGCCCTGCAGCGTCGCCTCGGGCACCTCGGACTCCTGCCCTCGCCGACTCGCTGCGGCAGCCCTCCGCGCCAGCCAGCACCGCACCAAATTCTGCACGCGGCGGGCTTCCGTCGCGCGCGCTGCCAGTACCTGCCGTTCCATCTCAGCCTCCGCCCACGCGGCGGCCGTGCGGGCTGCAAGGGCCTGGGCGGCCTCCCAGCGCATGGCATGCGACTGCAATCGCATTGCATTGCAATCGCATTGCATTGCATTGCAACCGCATTGCGTTGCATTGCAATCGCATCGCTTTGCATTGCATTGTACCGCATTGCGTTGCCTTGCATCGCCCTGCACAGATTTGCATCACAATTGCATTGCGTTCCCTTGCGCTGTCTTGCTTTGCCTTGAGTTGCGCTGCGTAGGTTCGCATTGCGACACTAAAACGTTGCATTGTGTTGCATCGGTTTGCAGTGCTATGCATTGTTTTTGCATTGCGTTGCCTTGCGCTGTACTGTGTTTGCGCTGCATTGCATGCATTACTTTGCTTTGCTGTGGTTTGCTGCGCATTGGCTTACATTGATATGCACTGCTTTTGACACATCGATTGCACATCCTAGATTGCACCTCCTGGATTGCACCACATTGACTTCACCACTGGGTAGTATCGCAGAGATTGCAACACATCACTGTGTCGGGTCCTCGCTGGCTAGCATCTCTATATGTGTATATATGTATGTGTGAGAATGAGACCAGGCGCGAGAGAGAGAGATATAAAGAGAGAGGGAGAGATAGAGAGCGTAAGATAACAAACTTAGGGAGCCCTGAGATTTCCGCGGATCGCGCACTAATTTCATCGGATCACGGAAGCACGGGCCCAGTCCTGGATGTACGGCCCACGGGACTCGGTACTGAAGGAGCTCGAAGCGCCTCCCTTATCCTTCAATCTTCTCCCCTCTGTTCCTTCCTGCTTGTCACCCGCCTTGTCCTGATCATCGTCCTCTCCTTGTACGGTTCCCTTCCTCGTCCTCGTGGTCTTCCCACCCCTGACCTGTGAGCGGACGTTCGCCTATTGGCTAACGCGTGCCGCCCCCCTTGCAGTCTGGACGGGGCCTTCGAGATGCCTGGGTGGCACTCCATACGTAACCCTATGCCCCTGAGAATAACACCTGGGGGATAATGCAAATCGGGGTCTCGGGGGGATAATAAACGATTTGTCCCGGCAAGTCGCACGTGAGATGTATGACGAAGAAAGAGGAGGTCGTCGTAGTCGCCGTCGTCACACGAAGACGACGACGATGCCGACGACGGCGACTACGACGCCAACCGGGAGTATGCTTTCCTCGGGAGGGCGCTGCGACTACGACGCCTACCGCCCGCAGTCTTTCTCGTGAGAGGCCTGCACGCCACACGTCCGTGACTGGGGAAAGCTGCAATGGTGAGAGTCCCCTGGCCCTGCCACACGTTCGCAATTCGTAACTTTCCCCCGCGATAGTGAAATTCGGCCTTGCCGCCCCTCTCCGCCGACCAACTCTGTCTTGGCTGGGGAGAACCAACTCTCAGTGGTGAAGGGGGGTGAGGTAGCTGTTTCGGGACAGGCCTCGTCAACCTTACTCGTGCTCGCCATGCACCGTGCTCCTCGTCGCCCTGCCCCCCCTCCCCCCTTTGTCCCCCTGCCCCCCTCCCCGCACTTCTCCCTGCTCTGCTGCTCCCTCCCTCCTCTCCCTCCTCCCCTCTCCGCCTGCTCCTGCTTCTCCTTCTCCCTCATGCCCTCCCCCTCCTTCTCCTCCTCGCTCCTTCTGCCCTCCATCATCCCTCCTCTGCTCCCCCCATCTTCCCTCAAATCGGCCCCCGGACTTCGGGTGCGCTCTGGCCAGAATGAACAGCTTCGTCCCGCTTTGGTTCCTGACAGTCGCGGGGTCCGACATGGGCCCCCAGATGCCGAAACAGAAGAAACATGTCCGATGTCGACGACGACGACGACGACGGCGACGACGAAGACGGCCACGATGGCGACGATGACTTAGGCACGCGCAGCTGGGCGGGAGCGAGAGAAGGGAGGAGGAAGGGAAGGAGCAGGAGGCGAAGGAGAGGAGAATCTGGAGGAGGAGGACCAAAGGAAACCCAAACATGCATCACCGATGCCGCAACAAACCGTCCCGTCCTTCCCAGATGTTCTTATTATAAGTACTCATTTGCGCTGTGGGGAGGGCCCACCTTGAGAGACGAACGAACCATGGCCGTGCCGCTGAAGAGAGATTCCGTGTGCAAAGGATCCACCTTCAATTTTCTAGATATTGGAAAAACAAAGGGGTGGGGCCATGCGAATTTCTAGAAGTGTCCAGCAAGAACCCTGCTTCAAAAGAAATGTACCCTCCATTTGTGTAAACATTACTCACTGCAAACTCTTTTTCTGCAACCAGGGGATACCTCTGGTGAGAACCCAATTTGGGAAAAGGGCCGCCTCAATCAGTGTAGCTGTTCGATGTGTTTAAAACCAGTGCGCGCAGCGCTAAGGCGACAGACCAATTTGAAAAACGAGCCCTCGACCATCCCTGTAAATGAGTCAAGCGTTTAAGAAGGGCATGGCGCGACGCTAAACCAAGAACCGCAGGTTGGACACGGCCCGCCCTCCATCCAGGGAGATGTTGGGCTTACCACTTTCTGACACATATTAACATATACATGTAAGGAGCCTTCAAGCGAAAGCCGGGGCCATCCACGGAAGCAGAGGGAGGAGAGGAGGCGGAGGAGACAGAGAACATGAAAGAGGAGGAAGCGAGGAGTCAGGATAACCAGGTCGAACGTGCCAGCGGGCACCGCCGCCCTGCCCACTCCCACCCTCCATCCCGTCTCGTAACATGGGCCTGTCTTATAGCACAATTTTGACTTTGGAACGGGAACGCGTTCCCTCCCAGCGAGCAGCGCTCAACTGTCCCACGACTTCACGGTGAGGACAAGAAAATTGGGAGGGAACACGCGGGCTGCGATCGGGAAGGGAGCTGCGGGGATTGTGCAATTTAGCCGTCCTTCGGGCAGACACGTTTTCGATGAGCGTGGCGAAGACGAATGATGCGCCGCGCCGGAACAGCACTGCCACTTTCACGCAGCATCTGCGCGGCGCTTCGCCCGCTCTCGCGCGGCCCCGCTGTCGCTGCCGCTTTCGCGCGACTCGGCCAACGAGATATGCGCCGCGCCGAAGCAAGAGCGCCCCTTCGAGCCGAAACCTGCACTGAGCTCCGGGGAGAGCGACAAAACGCCCGCTCGAGCGCGGCCCCGACCCTGACGATTTGACGAGCAAAAATGAAAGGCCTCGCCAAAGAAGCGGGAGCGTTACTTTGGGGCGAAATCAGCGCGGCGTTGACTACGCAAGCCGAGTTTCTCATCCGCTCGCGCACGACCTCGCTGTCGGCGAATTGGCGATCGAAAGAAATGCGCCGCGCCCAGTCGGGAGACCAACTCTCCGAAACCAATGAACGCGGGGCCAAAGGGAGAGCGACACTTCGCCGTTTCGCGCGGGATGTACGCCCCCTCCTACTCCTGCCGCGCACTTCGCCTCCTGGCGCCGAAACGTCGACGCAGTGTTGCCTGCATTGGTATGATGGGCAGGGCCAAATTGAAAGGCCATCAGCCAGGTAGGGGGTCGGGATCGGAGACAGAAGAGGGGAAGAGTAGGAGGAGGAGGAGGAGGAGGAGGAGGAGGAGGAGGAGGAGGAGGAGGAGGAGGGTGAGGAGGAGGAGGAGAAGGAAACGACGACAACGACGACGACGACGCCGACGACGACGACGCGGCGGTGGTGGTGGTGGCGGCGGCGGCGACAGGGGCTCTCGCAACCAGCCGGGGGCTCGGCGGTCGCCGGCGCCGCCTGTGGCATCGGCAGCCAGCGCAGGCCGCCGCCGCCGTGCAGGAGCCGCTCCTCACGGAAGCCACCGAGGCTGATCTCGCTGTCCTCTGGGTGGATGAAAGATGGAAGCCCGGAACTTGAACAAATTGAAACTGATAGACAGAATGTGCGTATATAACTTTCGGTCATGGGGCCACCGCCTGGTCCCAGGGCAATCAAAAAACGACCCAGGATGAAAATCTGGCCCTTAGGAAAAGTCGACTTGTTGGGACACCGTATTCAACAAATCAAGGCATTGGATCTCCGGGGAGGGACATCCTGGTATGCTGTCGGCACATGTTGTGCACGCCTGGCGATTTCGCCAAAGCTTCGTGCGCGCGCGCCAACGTAGGCGTCGAGCGTGCGCTAGCCGCGCCAACAGGTCGCGAACGGCCATGGCAGACGACCGCGCCAGGGCCCTCGCAGACTGGTCTGGCAGTTGGTAACGATTTTCGCGTGCCATAGGCGTCCCAGCTTTTCGCGCCATTCTGGGCCCCTGGAGCCATCAGGGTCTCTTGAGGGGTGCTCCGGAGGCCAGCTTCCGGAGGCCAGCTGAGCCTCCCTGGAAAAGTAAGGGTCCTGACGAACTTCGCGCCCTTCCCCAGCCCAGGACTGAACCCCTCTGGCAAAGGCCTTGCACATCAAAACTTCCCTTCCTCCTCCTCTTCCTCCTCCTCCTCCTTCTCCTCCTCCTCCTCCGCATCCTGCTACCTCTTCCCCATCCTTCTCCATCCTCCGCTCCCCCAAACCTCCACCGACTCGGTGACTTAAAGTCGCAGTCCCCTTGACCGCTGGACACCTCACATATGTAATGTGTCAACCCGTGTCACGTTTCGACGGTTTTGTGACCTCGAGGCGCCCCCTGGAGGCCGCTAGTTGCGATGAACCTATTTTGATACTTTGCTTGAGCCGCCCGAAGTCTGCGCCCTCCCTCACAGTCTCACCCCCGACCTGTCCAGAGGCGCGTGCCGACCAGAACTTCGAAACGGATGCAGCGATAGTGACGAAGACGACCCCGGAAGCCAGAGGTCCCTCCAAAAAGCAATTCGCCTGGCGAAGAACCCAACCAAGTGCAACTGTGAATACCGGGATACCGTAATTGCGGGTATCGTCTTCCGTGGAGCTCCCTCTGGAGCCACGAAGCGCTGTCCTGGGTGGGGGAGATGTCTGCGAACGTCGCCACTGGGACCTTCGGTGGAGCTCCCCACGGAGCCACGAAGAGCTCTACTGGCTGGAGGAGACGCATGCGAACTGCGCCATCGGGACCTTCGGTGGAGCTCCCGTGGAGCCACAAATCGCTGTGCTGGGCGGGGAGCCGCAAGCGAACTGCGCCACTGGGACCTTCGGTGGAGCTCCCTATGGAGTCACGAAACGCTGTGCTGGATGGGGGAGATGTCTGCGAACGTCGCCACTGGGACCTTCGGTGGAGCTCCCCATGGGGCCACGAAGAGCTCTACTGGCTGGAGGAGACGCATGCAATCTGCGCCATCGGGACCTTCGGTGGAGCTCCCTACGGGGCCACAAATCGCTGTGCTGGGTGGGGGGGGCGCCTGCGAACTGCGCCACTGGGACCTTCGCTGGAGCTCCCTATGGGACCACGAAGCGCTGTGCTGGGTGGGGGAGACGCAATCCGCACGCAGTCTGCGCCATCGGGACCTTCGGTGGAGCTCCCTGTGGGGCCACGAAACAGTACACTGGGCGGGAGAGAGGCACACGAACTGCGGAGGAGGGAGGAGGAGGAGGAGGAGGAGGAGGAGGAGGAGGAGGAGGAGGAGGAGGAGGAGGAGGAGGAGGAGGGGAGGAGGAGGAGGAGGAGGAGGAGGAGGAGGAGGAGGAGGAGGAGGAGGAGGAGGAGGAGGAGGAGGAGGAGGAGAGAGGAGGAGGAGGACGAAAACGAAAGGAACGCGGAGGCTGTCTCTTCAAAACGGAGACCCAACACGAGAGGCTGGTTGTGAACAACACCCAGACACATCGATCATAGTCCTCCCCCCCGTCCTCCTCTGAAAATCTACTCAAACTGGTCTTCGGACGCCAACCCAGGTCTTGTCGGCTTTTCGGCCTGGATGTATGGCAGCCCCGGGGACCGAAACTGGGCCTCCGATGCCAACAGGATCCCCGATCAGGTCCGCATCTCCCTCATGGTCCTGCCCGCTCCTCCATCGCCCTTATCCTTCCCCCTCTCCTCCATCTCCCTTCCTCCTTCTCCTCCTCGATCCTCCTCGTCCTCCTCAACATCCTCCTCCTCCTCCTCCTCCTCCTCCTCCTCCTCCTCCTCCTCCTCGATCCTCCTCGATCGATCCTCAATCATTTTCGGCCCTAGATCTCCTCCTCCCCCCCCCTCATGTCCTTCATCTCCCCCCCTTGAGCGCGTGAGTAGGAGGAGGAGGAGGAGGAGAAGGAGGAGGAGGAGGAGGAGGAGGAGGAGGAGGAGGAAAAGGACGAGGAGGAGGCGGAGGAGGAGGATGAGGATGATAATGCAGAAAATGAGGAGGAGGAGCAGCAGCAGCAGGATCCCTTCTCCCCTAGAGCGGCGCCTCCTCCGCCAGCAGGTCCCGCAAGAAGATGGCAAAGACCGGCTCCGCGGCGGCGGCGCCAGCCTGTGGGAGGCCCCCAGCCGCGCGCTCGGCGGCTCGGGGGGTGGAGGCCAAACACCGCGGCAATCTCAGATCGGCGCGACCTTCCCCCCCACGACCTCAGTCCTGTGTCCTCGGTCCTCGACCCCTCGATTCGGGGGCGTCCAAGAGGGGGGTTTGTAAATCATGGCCAGGGGGCGCACTGAGTAAAAAGAGAAGAAAAAGACGCAGAAAAGAAAACACATTAGCCTGGCGAAGAACCCAGCTACATGCAGTTGTGAATACCGCAGTTGCTGGTATCGTCTTCCGTGGAGCTCCCTATGGGGCCACGAAACGCTGTACTGGGCGGGGAACCGCAGATTCGGTGGGCGGCGAACCGCATGCGAACCCTGCTGCCAGGGCCCTCGGTGGAGCTCCCCCTCTATGGGGCCACCAACCGTGTGAGGGGTTTGCCGAAATGGACACGCGGTGGGCGGGGAACCGCATGCGAACCCTGCAACTAGGGCATTCCGTGGAGCTGCATATGACATATGAGGTCACGAACCGTGTGAGGGCTGTGCCGAAATAGACGCGCAGTGAGCGGGGAACCGCATGCGAACCCTGCCACTGGGGCCCTCGGTGGAGCTGCCGATGGGGCCACGAACCGTGTGAGGGGTGTGCCGAAATGGAAGCGCAGTGGGCGGGCAACCGCATGCGAACACTGCCACTGGGACCTTCGGTGGAGCTGCCGATGGGGCCACGAACCGTGTGAGGGGTGTGCCGAAATGGACGCGCGGTGGGCGGGGAACCACCTGCGAACCCTGCTGCCGGGGCCCTCGGTGGAGCTGCGTATGGGGCCACGAACCGTGTGAAGGGTGTGCCGAAATGGACCTGGGGTGGGCGGGGAACCGCATGCGAACTCTGCTGCAAGGGGCTGCTCCATATGAGCCCACGAACCGTGTAAGGAGTGTGCCGAAATGGACGCGCGGTGGGCAAGGAACCGCATGCGAACCCTGCCACTGGGGCCCTCGGTGGAGCTCCCTGTGGGGCCACGAACCGTGTGAGGGGTGTGCCGAAATGGACGCGCAATGGGCGGGGAACCGCATGCGAACCCTACTGCCGGGGCCCTCTCGGGAGCTCCCTATGGGGCCACGAACCGTGTGAGGGGTGTGCCGAAATGGACGCGCGGTGGGCGGGATGATGGTGGTGGTGGTGGTGATGATGCTGCTGATGCTGCTGCTGCTGATGATGATGCTGCTGCTGCTGATGCTGATGCTGATGCTGATGCTGATGCTGATGCTGCCGATGATGAGGATGAGGATGATGATGATGATGATGATGATGATGATGATGATGATGATGATGATGATGATGATGATGATGATGATGTTGATGCTGATGCTGATGATGATGATGCTGCTGATGATGATGATTATGATGATGATGATGATGATGATGATGACGATGGTGGTGATGATGAAGATGATGCTGATGATGATGCCGATGATGCTGATGATGATGATGATGATGATGATGATGATGATGCTGCTGCTGATGCTGGTGCTGATGCTGATGGTGTTGATGATGATGATGATGATGATGATGATGATGATGATGATGAGAAGGAGGAGGAGGAGGAGGAGGAGGAGGAGGAGGGAGGGGGGCAGCGGGAGGAGGAGGAACTCCGGGCGCTGTCTCTTCGAAACGAAGACCCAACACCACAGGATGATTGGGAAATGGACATGGGAATAATAATCATAGAGGGCCCATCCCCCCCGCCCCAGTCATCACCCCCTTCTTGGCTGCCCCCGATCATCGACTCACCCACATCCTAGCAGCCCCCGATCCTCGACCCATCGATCCTCGCCGTGCGGGCCTTCAGGCGGGCCACGAAGTTGAAGTCGGGCCCCGCGGACAGGCCTCGCAGGCCCAGCCCGAAGATGCCGTCGAAGGGGAGCTGGCTGAAGGGGTACTCGGACTCCTGGCAGGCCCCGCCCCGCCTCGCCCCGCCGAGCATCGCCGAGAGGGGAGCGGGGGCGGGGGGGGGGAGGGGGAGAAGGAAAGGGAGGAGGTAGACGGCACCAGTGCGATCTCGTCGGCCGCCGCCGCCGCCGCCTCGTGAAGTGGGTCGGGCTAGAGGTGGGAGTGCAGTTTGGAAGGAAAGTGGGGGGTCGGGGACGTCTCTCCCATCCACCCATCGCTTGCTCGCCCGATCCAGGTCTCACCACAACTCTAGGACAAGGGGAGGAGGCGACGATTGGTCGGGCGGGCGGCGGGGACCTGGTCGGGCCATGGCGCCTGCACCACATCGTCAGCGAAGCTCTTCACAGCAGCCCCTGCGGCACTCAAGAAAATCCAGAGCGGGGGTTGCACTTCACTGCGCGACGCGCGGTGCGGGAGCGCCTGGCGGCAGCAAGAAGCCGTCCGAGCCTAATCGTCGAACTTCCTTCCAGTGGCCCCTCTCGGTGGACCCTCTCAGTCCCTGAGAGGGCCCTGCCTCGCCTCGCCGTGGCAGGAGGGGGCAGAAAAGACCAGCGCGCGACGCAGGCGCCCAGGCTGAGGTCTGGAAGGGACCCTCGGGGCTTATGGAAAGGGCGGCGCGTGCTCACCCCCACGCACTTGGCACACACCCCACGGACACCACAACACGCATCCATCGTGCGGCAATAGCAGAGGAACATAAAGCGGCACAAATATGGACTTTCGGAGGCCCGCGCGGATTTCTCGGATCGGCGCTGAGCCCCCCGGCGGCGCCCTGGCGCCGCCCCTGGCGCGTTCCGCGTGCCAGGGAGTGGGGTCCAATCCACGAAATCCGCGCGCACCTCAAATAGCTTTTGTTTGTGACGATTTGCGATCAAAGACAGGAACGCTGAACAAGGAACGACGGGGCCGTTCTGGCCATGGCATGCCTCGACCACGAATCGGCGCCCCCGACCCAACAAGACAGGAGGAACGCCCCGAAAAACGGAGCCCCTCCTGAGCCCGAAGCGGTCTCTATCTCGGCGTCGTGGCTGAAACCCGGATAGGTCCCTGCCCCTTCTTCCGATCAGGGCGAAAGTGAGAGGGGGGAGGGCTGCAATCGAGTTTGATTGGTGAGGACACGCGAGAGGACACAAGACCCTTCCGAGGGCCACACTGCCCTGTGAATCTAGAAGGCATGGGCCGCCAACACACAGGACACAAGGGCACCCTTGATTCGGCAGCGCCGACCGACCAATCCACCTCGCCTGCATGGTCAGGCGAGAACTTCCCCGAGAGGGGAAAAACCCGCGAGCCAGGATCAAGGCTGTGGCTTCTTTGGGGAGGTGGCGCGCCATCAGGGTGAGCCTGCCTGGGGGGGGGGAAGGGTGCCCATCGGGAAGAGGGGGAGGAAGGCGGAGGAGTGGGAAGGGACGGGACGAGACGCGCGCGGGAGTCGTGCGCGCTCGGCCGGGGAGCCCGCCTGTGCCCCCTCGAGGAATGCCGTGGAGGCCGTGACCTCAGCAGTAGGAGGTGCGAGGAGGCGAGGAGGGAGCGGGAGGAGACTGGAAGGAGGGGCATGGGGACAGGGCGGTGCGGAGGGGCATAGGGCGAGGAGGAGAGGGAGAAAGGAGAGGGAGTGGCAGGGGACGAGAAGGAGGCGGAGGAGGGAACACTCCGTGGATGGAGAAGCTGGCGCCAACGGGACGGGCGCAGGAGCTGGTGGAGGTGCGGCCAGGATCGCCGCGCACCTCCCCCATTGTGGCCGTCTTCCGTGGACGAGGGGGCCAGCAGGGGGGAGCCTGCTGCGGAGCTAGGGGCAGGAGGGAGGGGAGCCGGGAGGAGCGCGACGGGGAGGGGGGAGGATGATGATGAGGAAGGGCGGAGATGGGCGCAGGAGCGGGAGGGAGAGGTCTGGTGAGGCGAGGGGGGGTACCCTCCACCTCTCGCCTCCTACTCGCCCTCCTCCCTCCCTCTCTCTCACTTGCATCTCTCTATCTCTCTCTGCCTCTCCCTGTATATCCCTCCGTATGCTCCCCCCTCTCTCTCGTGCCTGGGGGCGGGCCGCCACCCCTCGCCTGCTCCTCCCCCCCCCCACGCTCCCCCTCTCTCTCCCACTCTCGCCCTCTCTCTCTATACCTCTCTCTCCTGCCTCCTGCCCCCCCCACGCCCCCCCTCTCTCTCACACTCTCGCCCTCTCTCTCTCTATACCTCTCTCTCCTGCCTCCTGCCCATCCCTCCTCCTCTGCCCCTCTCTGCCCCCTCCATGCCACTCCGCCCCGCTCCCCTTCGCGCCCCTGCTCCCGCACTGCACCTCGGGAGGACGCTCGGCTGGCCAGCGGCCAACTGGTCCGGTCTGAAGATGCGCCGTCCGCGGGGCAGTCGGTCGCCGGCGACGCGCGCGCGCGCCGCCCATGGTGGATTCCTACCAAGAGCGACGAAAAGAAACAGGTCTTGCGCGAGAGGGCATGCAGGCCTCGTGCTAACATAGGTGACGCCACACAAGGAACAAAAGAGCTTCTCGGGCCACGGCGAGCCTCGGCACGAACGGGGTCCGCGACCTGGATCGAAGGTACGGCCGAAGACGAGAGCCCCTGCTGAGCCCAAGGTGGTCCTTGTTTCAGCGCCTTGACTGTAGCAACCTATGGACGGTCCTTCAGATGTGGGCGGCAAGTAGGGGTGCGAGAGAAACGTGACCATCTCGTGCCAGTTTGGGGCCCCATAGGCCCCCCTCAGGGCCCCTTAGGGTGCATAAAGGGTGCGCCTTTCTTCACCCCCAAACTCATGACCCTCCCATGACGCAACGCCCGAGACCTTCCGCTGCGGCTCACGCCAGCCGCCAGCGTGGCACACCGCGTGGAGAAGAGAGCACGCGAATGCCGGCGCAGTCGGCCCAGCTTTCTTCCGTCGCTCTCTTGATGGAGAGACTACTTGTCGTCCTCGTCCATGATGGAGTCCCACAGGTCGTCGAACGACGACTCCGTCACCTCGAGCGGCACCCGGGGTCGGCGCGCGCGCGCGCTCAGGGAGGGGCCTTGGGCGAGGGAGGGTGGCCTCTGGTGCGTGAGACCTGCCGATTGCTAGACCTGCCGATTGCTACCCGAGGGGCGCGGCTCACGCGCGTGGGCTTGGCCCCCACAGCCGCGCACCACGGGTGGCTCTGACGAAAGGTCACACTGACGTGTGGCCAGTGGAGGCGCCCCCGGCCCCAGACCTCCTCCTGGCGCCGTGGAGAAAAAGACACCAGGGCAGAAAGTTTTGGCAAGTCTGCGCCTCCCGGGGCCGCTGCTGGGGCCCTGGAGCCGTCAGAAGAACAATCGGGGGGGTATAAAGGTGGGATAGGGCCAAAGGTGAGGCTCGAGGGAAGTCGCCCTGGACGACCCATGGAGGAGGGAGACAGCAGCCTCGAGCTGGGCTCGCTCCATATCTCGACCTTGGGCTAAACCCCCCTCTGCGGTCAAGAACTCCGTTCTTAGCGTGACGAATCGGCGGCCCCTTGCGAAACGTCATGCCCTGCAAGCTAACAGCGTGTCGCTCCGCTGCGCTCCGCGGGGCGCTGGCAATGGCTCGGGACATTGACGCTTGGGGACCGAGACGTGGTTAGCGTGTCACGCCGAATAGTGCTGGGCTAGAACCGGCGGCGCGACACGCCAAACAACCGTGACCGCACGTGCCCTCGAAAGAAGGGCCCGGGATGCCCTGACCGCACGTGCCCTCGAACCTGACCGCACGTGCCCTCGACCGCACGTGTCCTCGAAAGTGCACGCCAGAACCTGACCGCACGTGCCCTCGAAAGAAGGGCTCGGGAGGAACAGCTCGCGGCGGGGAGGGGCCGAGAGCTCCAGGGGCCGCGGTCGTGAGAGATCGGGGCGCCGTCGGCGTCGAGGGTCGGGGCGTCAGGCTGTCGACCTGGGAAGCCCCGTGTGGCCTCCGGAATGCAGGGCGTCCCGGGCCTGGTCCGGAGTCGATCTAAACCAAGGTTCGCTAGCCCAGAAAAGGGGCCTGCGGAGGTTGCAATCCCGGAGCCCTGATGTCTTGGTCGTTCAGGAGAGGGCCCCCTTTCGGTCTGCCTTGATTCCGGCTCATTTTCAAATCGTGTGCAACACCGCCTCCAGGAGGCATTCCGTGACACACGAAGATTACAGCTACAGTGCCAAGTTGGCGTTGGTGTCTTACTTGGACATAGATCCCTGGAGTTGTGAAACGTAATCAGACGACGAAGACGGAAATCCTCAATTCAAGCACCAGGTTGGGCAAAACGTCTCGAAGCCTCGATCCTCGATCGCGGATGCATTTCACGGCGCCCGCATCGGATGGGGCGACAACCGATGATCCTCAGAACGCGTGTCAGCGCCAGCGTGTGCGTGTCCATCGAGGCCCTTTCAAGCGCCGCAGGCATGGTAATGATGGCCGATGTAGGCTGCATGCTACAGTGCAGACGTGGCGGCAAGAAACCCTCGAAAGAAACCCGTCGCCGAACAGCAGCAGTTGATTCACGCCCGCGGGAAGTCGCCGCGCAGCGCGCGAAGGCAAGAAGCCCGAGGCACCCTAACGAAAAATATTGAGTTCCTTGAGGCGCGTCCTCGCTACATCAGTGGAGCTGAACGGGGACACAACAATCACACACACACACACTGGTCGGATGTTGGTTGGGACGACCTCCCGTTGGCCCAGGCATCAGATCTATCCGAATATAGTTCGACTCTAAGTTCGACTCACGATCGACTCAAATCGACGGACGCTCGGCACAGCATCGAGGCATGAGTGAAGGCAATGGCTCCAGGAAGGTACCCAGGACGAGCATGTAACTCTGCAATGGTGGAGCTGAATGGGGTGACCACACACGCACACGCACACTTGTTTGGCGTCGCGGCCACGCGCGCGGCGGCGCGGCGGAGGTCAAATCAGGCGGGAACACGCTGGCCGGGACAGCTCACGCAGCGTGGAGAAGCTTGATAAAAGGGTAACCACGCACACACTCACACATGGTCCTGATTCCGGGAGCCCTGAACCCAAAAGAGGTGTCATCTCTTGGCGGAACATCTTTTACTCCCGCCGGTTTCCGCCAGCCTTCCGCCGGCTTCCGCTGGCGGAGCCGCCCCTGTTTTACTTCCGCGGGCTCCCGCCGCCAATCACACTCACACATCCCTGAGATCCGACGATGCGAAACACCTGCAACACCGCGAACAATCAACACCTGAACCCTACACCCAATACGTCTGCGCCTTTTTGTTCGAGCTGCACCGCCCGGTGATGACCCTGGGGCCCGACACAGTGCGAAAACGGCGAGTGCAAAAAACATGCAGTGCCCAGATCTGCGGGATCGCCAACACGCGTCCCGATGATCCTCGAGCTTATCTTGGGCGCCCGAGTTATCCGGGGTAACTCGGGTCCGGGGTAACTCGGGTTTGGATTCCCGAAAAAGGAACCCGAGTTAGCCCTGACCCGAGTTACCCCTGATGATTCGGGGCTCTGGATGCCCGAATTATCCGGTGTAAGTCGGGTCCGGGGTAAGTCGGGCTCGGATTCCCGAAAAACGAACCCGAGATAACCCTGACCCGAGTTACCCCTGATGATTCGGGGCTCTGATTATCGCTCTTGTGTATTCCTCGAGCCCATCGCTCGGGGGCGCCTTCGGCGGCGGCGCCGCCGACGCCGCCGGCTTCTGCCCCGCCGCCCCCTTGGCGGCCGCGGCGGGCGCCGCCTCGCCGGCGCGCAGGAGGTGGTGGTGGGGGGCTGCGGAGGGGGGCGACGACGGCGCCGTCGCCGCCCGCCTCTGCATTTGGAGCGAAGGATCGAACCGGATCTAGCCAGATTGAGCGGGATCCAGCTGAGCTCAGCAGGATTACGCTACTAGCCTGGCATTCGACCACGGATATACCAGCGCCGATGTTGAACTTAACCCTAGGAGTTATTTCCCAATCCGTATAGCCAGTGTGGCTCATGCACCCGTCCGTCCGACGAAGCCCTGGAGGCCGCAACGTCGGCTTGCGTGCCGAGAAAAAACACGGGCCTAAGAGCGCCATGCGAGTCAGGCGAGGCAGAGGGGGGCGACGACGACGCCGCCGTCGACGTTGTCGAATCATCCGGGATAACTGCGGACCAGGGTAACTCCGGATTGGGCCCCCGAGGCACGAATCTGTCGCCATCCCTGACGGCCCCCAGTCCTGATGATTCGGGGCTCTCAGCAACGAGCGACGAGGTTCTGCATCCAGCTGTGGCAACGAGGGGCGGATGGCGGTATCGGCACCTCTTCCTCCTCTGTGGAGCAGGAGACACCGGAGCCGACACCGGCGCCACCGTCTTCGAGCAGCGCGGGGGCGCGACATCGTGGCGGTGTGGCGTCGCGGGCGTTCGGCGTCCAGCGCGAGACAGCGCGAGCCTCCAGCTCGGGGAGGCATCGCGGACCTCCTCGCCAGCGGAGGCCCCGCTGGTGGTGACGGCTCGCCTGGTTTCCCGCCGCCAGGGCCAGACGCGGCTCGGGAAGCTGGCCAAGATATAGATGCTCGTTCTGGGGACCTTCCCTGGAGCCACTCGCTTCACTCATGCGTCGATGCTGCGTCGACCTTCAGTCGCCTCGAGTCGAACTGGAGCCGAACTAGAATCAAACTAGAACCGAACAGATCCCTTACGTCGGCCAGGCGGGTCCCCCAAAACGAACATCTAACAGGATTCAAGGGTGTCCAAGAGATGGGCGTCCAAGGGGGGGTCGCAAATCATGCGCCGAGGCACGTGCGCGGACCAGTGGTGGTCCAAGGGACGTATCGAAACAAGAAAAGTGGACCGTGCAATCAGGGGAGACATCATGGCCCTGGCTATGATGTCCACCCTCCCCTGATCATCACCCCCTGCTTGGCCACCCCTGAGGGATGGACACTGGGAGGGGTCTGGGGACAAGTCCAGAGCAAGCGTTGGTAGGAGCGGGGTGAAGGTGGCCTTCTGAGGCAGGGGGCCTCTCTGGGGAAGAGCTAAGACGAAGCCATGACAAGGACAAATTCGAGGAAAAATGCATCGAGAATCTCTGAGATCCCCTAGCCCTAGAGAATGTATGGGGCGCCGCGGCCTTCTCAGAGCGTTCCGGAAAGCTCTGAGAGCGTTTCAAAGTGCTCTGGAACGGATTTATCCTCGTCCTACCCAGAAATGCGACGTATTCTTTTTTCAATACCTCATCCCCAGCGGTCTCGACCCGTTCCCTGGGACAATTTCTAATCCTGGGTCGTTGTTGACGGTTCCGGGGCCCAGCGAGGGCCCCCAGGATCCGAACACGACGAAAAACCTTCGCGTCGAATTTTTCAAGACGTTGGAGGTCTGGAACGGATTCATTCTCGTCCGAGCCCCGCCCGAAGAGCTGCCCCTGCTTCCCGGCCTCCCCCGGGGAAGCCCCTTCAGGGCGGTGGGGTGCCCTCTCCGAGGGCCGCCCCCCTCGTGCCGCCCCCCGAGGGCACCACCGCGGCAGGCCCGTGCCCCGACCGCTCCGGCGGGGACTTCTTCCCTGCCCGTCTCCCGGTCTCCCGAGCCGCGACCATCCGTGGCAACGAGGGGGCCCCCCGAAAGTGAAATGGCATCAAGCCGATGAAGAGTAGTTGCAGCCAACATGTCTAACAAGGGCGCACGACCAGGATGCAAGGGCCTTAGAAGGCCACGTGGGCACTTTGCGAGCGGAGCGCGGCCAGCGAAAGCGACCAAGGATGGGCCGAAGGGGAAAGATGCAAGGGTAACCTGGGAAAGTTGCTCATCCTTGCGATGCGGGCTGACTGTGTCCTGACCCAGCTCCCGAGCCGCAACCATCCAGGGCGACGAGGGAGATGAAGAGTCGTTGGTCAGGCTGCCGCGCTGGACCGCCTGCGCCGTGGTTCGTTTTTCGCCCGCAGGGCCCCCCAGAGATCCCGGACGCCTTCCCCACAGGGGCTGCTTCCTCATCCAGGGTCCTCTGGTTGATGGCCCATGTGGCAACGGCGCAGGGTGCCCCGGTGGCCGAAAGAGGCCCCAATCCTCTCGTCGACCGATACGGGTCTTCGGCACTGCTGATTTTTGCTCGTTCTGCCAATGCGTCGCGCAACACGAGAACTCTATCGTCATTCTGTTGCACGACGCGGGGGGGTCTGGGCTGCTCGCGCCCCGCGCGCCGCCAAGCCTCGGGCGCGGCCGCGGGCGCGGCCGCTGCCGCTGGCTCGGGCTCGCCGAGGGAATCGAAGATGTCGTCCAGCTCCGCCTCGATGGACTCCAGCGCGCTCTTCGGCTGCGCCGAGGCCGCCGTGGCCTCTCCGGGAGACCCCGCGGGCCCGCCGCCGACGACGCCGCCGAAGCCACCGACGCCGCCGACGCCGCTGGGGACGCCGTGCCTGTCGCCGACGCCGCCGACGACCCCGCCCCCCCCGGGTCTCGCAGGGACCCGCGAGGGAGGAGTAGGTAGGAGGAGGATGAGAAGGAGAAGGATGAGCAGGAGGGATGAGGTGGAACCGCGGCGGGAGGGACACGAGCAGGAGTCGGGTGAGGAGCAGCGGCAGCTGGAGCAGCAGCAGGAGCAGCACGAGCAGGGGGAGGATCGAACAGAGGGAGCACAAATCGCGACGACGGGGCTGGAGCCCACCCCTTTACGCCTAGGGGCGGGCCGCCGGGGCTGAAGAAACAATCCGCCAGAAGTCTGGGCGCTGGTGGCGCATGGCCGCTCTCTGGGGACCTGTCCTTCGGGATCCCTCATATCTGCGACCGAAGAACTGTACAACATAGGTTTCCGTAATCGGGAACACCTGTCCCAGGGCGGCTAGGAGGTCAATTCCCCTGCCGTGGCACGTCGGGGTATACACTGTCCAACCGCCCTGGGACAGACAGACGTCCTTCATAGTCGGAGCATGGCCACAATAACAACGTGGGCTAAGCGCATGAGCCGCTGCGCCAGAGGACCAGGGACCTGTGGAGGTAGATACCCCCAAACTGGAAACATTGCAGGGTAGAGGGCCCAAATCCCAAGAACATGAGGGTACTTATCCCTCCAAGGCCTTGGTTGATCTGAAGTGAGGGTCAACGATAAAGGGGGGGACTGGCTCAGAGGGGAACCGTCGACCTTGACTCGAAGATACATCGCAGATAGTGCGGCGATAGGCTCTCGATAGCGGGTCCACACGTGGCTGGAAGGGAGGTTATGAGGGCCCCTATCGGCGATGAGTGGGCGATTGGCGGCCGATGCGTTCCCCACCTGAGCGCATCCACCCTAAAACTACCACTGAGGATCGTTATTCAGCTTTTTGCTTAATGAACTCAAGCAGCCGTTCTATATGTGCCAGCCTTCGTGCAGCGGGGTTATGGGGTATTTTCTCGCCTGAATATATGTCCCCCGTTCCGCAGCCTATTTTGGGGTTCCCCTTGAATCCGCTAAAGGAGATACGGCTACTGAATTGCACCTGGCGTTTGGGAAAAGCCCTGTCCAAAGAGTGATGGCCCGCTGCAGCCTTTGGCGGAGCGGCCGCCGCAGCTGGCGGCGGTGGTGAGGGCGCCGGCGCCGCGGCCTGGATGGGAGGGAGGAAGGGAGGAGGAGCAGGAGAACGAGGAGGAGGAGGTGGAGGAGGAGAAGGGGGAGGGGGAGGGGGAGGAGGAGGAGGAGGAGGAGGAGGAGGAGGAGGAGGAGGAGGAGGAGGAGGAGAGAAGGAGGAGAAGGACGAGGAGGAGGAGGAGGAGGAGGAGAAGGAGGGGGGCAGAAGGAGGAGGAGGAGGAGGAGCAGGAGGGAGAGGGGGAGGAAAAGGAGGATGAATGACGAGAAGGGATGGGGAGGGAAAAAAGAGGAAGGCAGACAAGGAATAGGGTGAGGAGCGGGAACGAGCAGCACGAGGACGAAGTACAGGGGAATGGCGAATCAGGGCGGGGGGGGGAGAAGGGGTGGGGGGATGATGGGGGGGGGAGGAGGAGGAGGAGGTACAGGAGGAGGGGGAGGAGGAGCAGGGGGAGGAGGAAAAGGAAGAGGAGGAGGAGGAGGAACAGGAGGAGGAACACGAGGAGGAACAGGAGGAAAAAAACGGGGAGATGGCGGGAAAGGAGGAAGAGGACGATGAACAGAGGGCAGGAAGAAGAGCAGCAGCAGCAACACCAGCAAGATGAACGGGAAGGAGAGAGGGAAGGATGCAGTCGGGCCGCTGAAAGAAGGAACGCCAAATAAGGAACGAAGCCCATTCTTGGCCCTGTAAGCGCCTCCGTGCCCCAGGAGGACAAGAGGAACAACACAGGAGGAACCCAAGGAACATCGAGCCCCTTTTCCGAACCCGAAGTGTTCCTTATTTCAACGTCTTGACTGTACGGGTCGGGGGCATAAACGTGGCTCACGCTGGGGCGGGAACGCAGTTCTGAAGACGGGAACAAAGCACCAACCCGAAAACAAGACCCACGCTGCAGCGAGGGTACCAAGTTGAACCACCGAAACCAACAATATTCTAAACTAGCGTAAGCCACATCACATGTGCTCACTTCTGCGAACAGAGAGCTACTCCGACGCAAGGAAATCAAATGCGAACCTCCCAGAAGGAACTCGTTCGAATGCAATCCCCGCCGTCATTTTTATGAATGCCGAAGCTCGTTTTTGGCTTTCTCATCGCCCCTCCATGTTCGCCCTAACCGAAGCCTTCCTCTCGCACCCCGTGATACCTCCTCGTCCTCTTGGCCCCGCTCACCCATCCACGTCCTCCCCCGCCTGCTTCGCAATGGCGCGAGAATATATGTTTCTGGGCGCCGTCGCCGCCTCTGCCAGCGCGAGCGCGAATTCACACGCGGGCCAAGCCTGCGGGGCAACCCTGCGAGCCGCTGGGGCGCGGGAGCAGGCATTTGGGACAACCCCGCAGGTTTCCAACTAGTCTCGGCCGCGGGAGCAGCGCGAAGCCGAGCTATGCCGCGAGCTGCTCTGCTTTCGCCCTGGAAATACCAGCTGCCTCGTCGAAGTCGACGAACGCCTTCCGCAAAGACGCCGGCGGCCCGCGCTCCAGGAACACTGTCGTGGGCGGCCGGAAGATAAGATCAGCACGCTCCGCGCGCGCGTGGTTCGGGGGAGCATGACGCAGAGGCGCAGCGCCCGACATGCCCGCGCGACCAGCGTCCTCATCTTTGGCAGGGTCGATACTGACGCCCTTTGCGCAGGGTCTGGCCCTGCGACACCGTGGAAGTCAGGCAGGGCGCGCGCGTCAGGGTGAAAGCCGAGCGGCGCGCGATGTGCGGCACCGAACTCTGCAACGTGGACTTCCTTCTGTTCGCTGGACCTGAACTTGAGCAAACTCCTCGCCCGGGTCTCGGCCTCGCCGTCGTTGTCAACGCCTCCGGCGCCCTGCAGCAGCAGCTCGGAAACTTCGTGGTAGATCGGGCACGCCCCGAAGCCGCGCGCTCGCATCCGGGGTCCCTGCGGTAATAAGGGGGGCGAAGGAGCTGGCTCGGCGCGCACTCATCGTACACCTGCTCGTCGTCTGGGTGCAACTCGAAGGGCGCGATGGTGCCCCCTTGCGCCTGAACCAGCCCCACCTTCTTTTTCAATTCCTCCTGCCTGGCCGCGAACCGCACATCCACGCCGACGCGTGCTGTCAACATGCCGTGGAAGCCCCCCGTCTTGTGCATGCTCGGGACGTTGAGGAGGCGCCGGCCCCCGTCGGGATCGCCGGAGATCGTGTGGCACTCGTGTAAATCCTGTTCGTCCTCCTCGTCCTCCTCCTCCTCTTCCTCTTCCTGTTTCTCACCCTCCTCCTCCTCCTCCTCCTATTCCTCCTCCTCCTCCTCCTCCTCCTCCTCCTCCTCGTCCTCCTCCTCGTGCGCGTTCTACTAGATACGTGCCGAAACACGACCCCAATGAAACACGCCTCTTCCTGCTCTTTCTCCTCCTCCTCCTCTTCCTCCTCCTTCTCATCACCAACATCAGCATCATCATCCCTCGTACCTCCGATGGAAACGTGCAACCCGAAGGAGATTGCACGACCCATTCCTTCCCGTCTCCCTCCTCCTACTTCTCCTCCTCCTCCTCCTCCCACTCCTTCCCCCCAGGAGCCACGACATTTACAAAGTTTGGTGCCCCGTCTGGATTCGAAAAATAAAATGGCTCCAGCGCGACTCACTCAAACACGCGAGAAATCTGATCGAGGCTTCCTCCATATTCAGACCGAGGAGCCCAACATTGACGGTAGATATAAGACTTGGATGACCCGCTCGGGTTCGAACAAGAAGTGCGGGCCCCATAAAGAATGGCTCACGCCTGAAACTTCTCCGCGACCGCTCGGATTCGAACATGGCGGCGGGAACCACATAGGGAAGGGTTGCCGTTTGAGACGTCCTCTCGATTCGCTCACAGACGACGTTCCCGCTCGAGACTTCCTCCATCGTCAGGCATCAAGAGCCAGAAAGTGACAACAGAAGTTCCCGTTTGAAACTTCCTCCATGTCAGGCCAGAAAAGCCCAGCAGCGACGACAAATACAGGTTTTGAGGGCGGCCCGCTGGAATTAGTAACATGATTTGCGGGCCCCATAGAGAGGGAATCCCGCCGGCGACTTCCTCGCAATTCACTCACCGACGAGGCTCTCGCTCGAGACCTCTCCCATATTCAGGCCAGAGGAACCCAACAGTGACGACATTTACAAGTTTGAAGATGACTCGCTCGGATGAATCACATGATTTGGGGGTTCCACAAGTAAGGAAGGGGGGGTCCCGCCTGAGAATACCTCGCAATTCACTCGAAGACAAAGCTCCCGCTCGAGTCTTCCGTCATACTTAAGCCTGAGGCACCCAAAAGTGACAGCAGCTACAAGTTCGAGGATGACCCGCTGGGATGAATAACATAAATTGCGGGCCCAATTGGGAGGGGGCCTCCCACTCGAGATTTCTCTCAAGGTGAATCTGTGTGTATGTGCGAACATGTGAGCTGAGTGCGTGCGTACGTGTGATATGACAACGATGGTGATGATCATGGTGTGATGGCGGTTGAGTGCGTGCGTGACGAGTCAGTGGGCGAGTGATTGAAAGAGTGCGGGTGATGATGTTAGTCAGACGGATACAGGATAGAGATGAAGGGTTCCTGCGCGGGGAGCCCAAAGAAAACAAAACTCCACTTAGGATATGGGGAACTAAACGCGAAGATGACGGGACATCGTCCGGACAGTCTGGTGAGAGATGGCAATCGTATTCATTATGTGTACTTGCAAAGACGGGAGACAAGGCAAGCTACGTGCGTCCCCTCGGTATCTGAAATCTGACAGTTTTCACCAATCCCTTGCCATTACGCTGATTTCTTCTACCCGCCGATGCGTGTCATAGAGGACCTGGAACTCCAAAGAGGACCCCAACGAGTTATGCGCAGTCGGAGAAAAACAAGGCAGCTGCGTATGTTGGAGGAGGACCTGATGGATGGGCAGGAGGATGAGCGGGAGCCTGTGAGACCTGCGACACTTGTGGGACCTGTCTGAATCTGGGACCCGAGACCTGCGAGACCTGCGGGACGTGGGGGACTGGCAGGACCTGTGAAACCTGTTGGGTCCTGGGGAACTCCGTGAACCTGTGAGACCTGCGACACCAGTGGGACCTGTGGAACCTGCGGGACCTGTCGGACCTCTGAGAGATAGGCGCGGAACAGATGCAAGATCGCGAAAGGCGACAAGCCAGAGCGCTCGACCCCACCATTGTGTGGCATTTCTCGGAACGGATCGCTCCGTATTCCTAGGGCTCGAGATCTGGGAAACATTGGCACGCTCGAAATGGGGACGGGCAACATTGGGGGCGATGCCCACCAGCGAATGTTGTCCAAGACTGGCAGCGGCCGCTGTTGGGCAGGCGATGGTGCGTCCCAAATGGACAACGCTAGCGGCGACACCGACCGTGGGCCCTGTTCAGAACGATCAAAAACTGCTGGTGGTCTTCGTCCCCATTCTTCCCGTCTCCATTCGCAGAGATCCGTTCGCAGAGATTCATACATACGCGGTCCTCAAAAACCCAGGCCCTGGGCCAATTTTCCATCATGAGCGGCTTTTGCCGTCCCCGGGCCCTGCACTTCGGCCTTCCCTCGAGATCCATTGACCCGAAAGCAGATTCCTCTGGCGAGTGCGCGGGTTGTCTCGGGCGAAAATATGAGCAGCGCCGAAATCTCAAGGGAATCGGCCGACTCGGGATACCTCGAATCCAAAAACTTTGACGTCTCACGTTTCCTTTCGCCGCCTTGCGCCGATCGTCCGCCGACTTCCGCAGGCCGACACGCCGCCGTGCTACTTCCGTCGGCCTTCCTCCACCTTCCGCCGAGGGAGAAAGAAAGAGAAAGAGAAAGAGAGAGAGAGAGGGATGTGCCGAAAGGCGAGCGCGAGTGAGGCCCTGTCTGGTACGCCGCACCAGCAACGCTCGGATCTCAGGCGATCGGCTACACTGAGAAAGTCCAGGGTTCGCCAGGGACTGGTTTCTTTTCAGAACAGCCGAAAGTCTGCCGAAATCCTACGAAAACCCTCCAGGAAGGGTTCGGGGAAGCATTCGGGATGGTTTCTGAAGAGTTTTGGATGGGTTTTCGTTGTTTGGGGGGAAACAATCTCTTGCGAATACTGGGCTGTCCAAGGCTTAACGCAAAGGTGACCCTGGGCAGGAGTGGCCTTTGGCGCACGGTTTGCCGATCCTCGTGCACGCTGCACGATTAGTGTCTGCCACTGCTCGCCTCGGCCTGCCCCCCCGCCGCACCTCCAAAAACTGCGCCACATAGGCCACTCCGGAAGAGAGCCACTCTCGCGTGCAACTGATGGGTCGCCTTGGCGTTAAATTGAGAAGGTCCAGGGCGGGCCAGGGACCAGTTTCCAATCGAAAAAAGCAAACCCCTCCCGAACCCCTTCGACTAGCGAAACCAGTTCCTAGCGAACCCTGGGCTTTCTAACATTTGGGGGGCAACTCTGAGGAGGTCTTCGTAAGAAGGATTGAAAACTACTGAGACCGATGAGGATGCTATGACGCCTTATTCAAGCCGGACCAGGCCCACAAATTGGCCCGATCTACGCGGGATTGAGCCAAATTGAGCAGGATATGCTTCTGGATCAGGCCGGCTTTCGACCACGGACATATCTCGGAGCAGGACGAGTGTGGACGACGGCATCTCAAAATGGGTTCCCAGGCCCCTCCCGGGTTCCAAACGCACGAATTTGTCTGAGCTGCGTCCAGCCGTGGCGACGAGGGACACCCTCTGAAGGCCAAGTACAGGTTTCACAGCTGGCCCTCCTCTGCATGCCAGCGCCGCTGCCGAACTTCACCTCCGAGGAAATGCGTCCACATTGCGGCCGCCCCCAGCTGCCAGGTCGAGCAGCGGCGCGGGCGCGGCGTCCGGCGCCGCCTCGGGCACAGTAGCGCTCGGCGGCGCGGCGGCGCCGAGAAGTTCGGCGCTGGCCGCCGCGGGTGCGGCGCTCGGCGGCGTGGTGGCGCCGAGCAGGTCGACGCTCGCCGCCGCGGGCGCCGCGGGCGCCGCTGCGCTACGCGGCGCCGCCTGAGGCGGCGCGGGGGCGCCGAGCAGGTCGGCGCTCGCCGCCGCGGGCGCCGCGGGCGCCGCAGTCGGCGCCGCCTCGGGCGGCGCGGCGGCGGCGCCGCGCGCCGGCGGGCTGAAGGGCGCTGGGCCGCTCGGTGCATCGCCGGCGTCGGCTGGGGCTTGGGCGGCGTCTGCGGGCTGGCCGGCGAGCCCGGCGGCCGCCTCTCGAAGGAGGTGGAGGAGGATCATGCGATGATGGTCATGATGGTGATGATGGTGCTGATGATGATGATGATGATGATGATGATGATGATGATGATGATGATGATGATGCTGCTGCTGCTGATGATGTTGCTGCTGCTGCTGCTGCTGCTGCTGCTGCTGATGATGATGATGATGATGATGATGGTGGTGGTGGTGCCGATGGTGGTGATGAGGAAGTTTACGATGCTGCTGCTGATGCTCCTGATGATGATGGTGATGATGCTGCTGGTGACGATGCTGATGGTGATGATGACTAGGAGGAGGAGGAGGAGGATGATGATGATAATACTGATGCTGCTGCTGATGATGATGATGATGGTGATGGTGGTGATGATGATGATGATGATGATGATGATGATGCTGATGATGATGATGATGGTGCTGATGATAATGATGACGATGATAATAATAATGATGATGATGGTGATGATGATATTAAGGGTAATGATGTTCATTGAGGTGGTGATGAGGAGGGGGGGAAGGAGAAGAAGGAGGAGGAGCAAAATGTGTAGGAGGAGGAAGATGAGGAGTATGGAGGCGGAGTGAGAAGGAACGACGAGAAGGGGCAGGAGCAGGCATAATGAGAAGGGGCACGACGTATGAGGAGTGAGAGGCAGAAGAAGGGGGGCTATCAACGGGATGTGGCACTCGCTCCTTCGAGGGCAGCTTCCACCCATCCCTTCAAGGACCTGGCCCATTTCCCGAGCTGCGTCCAGCTGTGAGTCAAGAAACCAACAGGATAGGTTAAGCACAACATATAGAAAAAAAGGTAAACGTTTGGGGCATCGATGTCTTGGGTCGGCCCTCGAAGCGCGCTGGGGGCGACGCCAGGGGCGCCGCCAGGGCTGTCCAGCGCCTTCTCCAGAAGCTCACGCGGGTCTGCCTCAGAAAGCCTAATTCTCAGGCTCGAGGGATGCCAACTTTCTCTGGTCCCCGGGGAGAGGATCGGGTCGGGCGGGAGGGGGGGATAGCAAAGGGGGGGGGGCTGGCGAATCAGCTCACGTGGCTGATTTCCCTGGTGCCTCCCGGCGCCGGCAAGGGCCAGTGTATGGAGGGAAACGCCCGCCGGTGGGACGAAACCAGCTGCATGCGGCAATTTTCGGAATCCCACCTTTCCCTTGTCCCTCCCCTTCTCGGGGAGACGTAAGACTCGGGTTCGGGGGGCGCGGGCTGGCCTGACAGAGCCCTCATGAAACTGACAAGACCCAGTCTGAAATATGTTGGGAGCTCCCGCTGCAGACATCCCATGAACAGAGAACCGTCTGCGTCAATCCAGGACAGCAGGTCGAAAAGCGTGGGCACCTCGAGTCTTGCGCTTCCTCGAACTTCGTCCGACCCGAGAGGAGAGGACGACCGCTCCTCCGACGCCTGCTGCCACCCCTTGCTCAGCCCGCTGGAAGTCTTGCGCCACCAGTCGTTCGCGGTCTTCCGCACCTTCTCGGCGGCCTTGGCGGCCTCGTCCGCCGCGGTAGGCCCCGCCTGGGTGGGCGCCAACGGCCCAACCTGCACCGATCCCGGACAGCCGAGTGCTGGGACCAGAACCAACATCGGTGGATATCTACTGGTAGGTTACAGTCGGGGCAGATTGCAGAGGACCCCCGACGGGGCGCGCAAGTCTCTTCCGAGGGCAACCCCTGCTCCAGACATGAAGAGAACACATGTTCGCGATACACAGGACACAAGGGGACACAAGGGTGAATACCCTTTGTACTTTTCAGGATCGGCCCACTAAACAAGCCAGACTGTAACTGGTGCCTCGGGCGGCCCCTCGAGACGATTCTGGCGTCCGCGCTAAGCTCCCGACACATCAATCCGACGAATTGTTTTCACTGCGGGGTCCCCGAATCCCCGTTCTCGAGTATGCAGGAGACGTTCCCGGGGCCAGTTTCCCCTCTCGAGAATGGTTTCGACGGCTCTGGGGCCTGGCGGGGGCCCCCAGAGGCCGAAATCAGGGACAAACACGCCGTGCTGTCTTCGTTCCAGAGCGTTGGAGGTCTGAAGACGAGGCGCAGCTGCTGCAAAGCAGACTACACCTCGGGCCCAAATCGCCTCCAGGGAGCCTGGGACGAGGTCAAAAAATGGCAAGGGACAACACCCTGAGAGCGGACGGCCAGCGACCCCTCGGACCCATCTAGAATCTAGCACCGCGTTCTGCCCAGGGATCTCGATACCGCGTTCAGCCGCAACGACGGCCCAAACCTCCGACGACGTGCTCTCCCGGGCGCACGCGAACCTGGTTCTGTAGATCTGGCGCGTGGGCACCAAATCCACAGATCGCGCAAGGCACTCCCGAAATGTGAGGCCGAATGCCGCCTGATTTGGCGATGGAGCGCGACGGTCCTGCACTTAAACGGGAGCCGCCAGCTACTGCACGCGCCTTGGTCCAACGAGCCGAACCGAAACGAGTCTAGCCGCAACGACGACCCAGACCTCCAAAGTCGTGCTCTCCCACCCCCCCTACCCCTCCCTCCTGTACTGTCGGGCCCTCGTCTTGAACCCGCAGCGCCACGCGTCTCGCATCTCGCCTCCAGTTCCTCCTCCTCCCCCTCCCTCCTTCTCCTCCTCCTTTCCTCCTCCTCTTCCTCTTCCTCTTCCTCCTCCTCCTCCTCCTCCTCCTCCTCGTCACTCCCCGTCCTCCTCCTCCTCCTCCGCCTTCTCCTCATCCTCTTTCGTTCCTCCTCCTCCTGCTCCTCCTCCTGCTCCTCCTCCTCCTCCTCCTCCTCCCTCTTTCGCCTCCTCCTCCTCCTCCTCCTCCTCCTCCTCCCATTCACGGCGCACCCCCCAGACGCCTCGTGGCGCCGTGGGGAGCTCCACCTGCGGCCCCAGCGAGGGCGCCCGCATGCATCCCCCGCCCATTTCGGCACACACCCTGCACGGATCGTGGCCCCATAGGGAGCTCCACTGACGGCCTCGACGATGGCCTTCACATGCGTCCCGCTGCGTAGTTCAGCGGCACACCCCTCACCCAGATCGTGGCCACATCAGGAGCTCTACCTAATTTGGCCACATGCGTCCCCCCCACGATTCCGGAACCCCCCTGATGCGTGTCGCGGGCCCATAAGGAGCTCCGACTATGGACCCAATGATGTCGGTCACATGCGCCCCTCCCCCCCCGCCTTAGGCACACCCTCGCGAGGATCGTGGCCCCATAGGAAGCTTCACCTGCAACCCATTACAAGAATCGTGTCTCACAAGGATCCGGGAGCTCCACCTACGGCCTCAAGGAGCGCGCCCATATGCGGGCCTCCAACCACATGCACAATCCTCACGACGGGGATAGTGACCTCAAAAGGAGCTCCTTTGGGTTCAATGGGAGTCCCGGCTTACCGTCCCCGCCCAATCCGGCACAACCCTCACGCGGGCCGTGCCACACCCCACAGGAACCGGAACTCCATCAATCCTGCGGCGTGTAGGATACGAGGAGAGGGCAACGCCCTTCGCCACACACAGACACAGAGGGTTCGGCACTTCGCCAGTCTAACCTTCAAGACGTGAGATTACAAAATTCCAGATTGGGATGCAGAAGAATATACTACAAATACGCGTCGTCCCTAGAGGCGTCCGTCCGACCAGATCATATAGTACAACAGTCATATACTAGATTGACCAGTGGTATGGCCAGAAAGCGCCTGCCGCCGAGCATGTACTACAAGACTTCTTGGTGCGCGCTTCATTTTTGGGGGCGACGCACACATAACTAATATCAGTATGTTTGGGCGACGCCGACTGATACCTCCCACGACTCGTTTTCCAACCCAGGTTGTTCTGCTGACGGCCCCAACACTGTCTCGGGACTGCGATCGCCAGATGCCTGGGGGATCGGGGACCCCTCGAGCCCGGGCTCAGCGTGCGTGGGCAAGCTCGGTCAGCTTCGAATCGGGACGCCGGAGCGGATCAAAATGTGCGCTGGACCAGGCTGCTGCAACAGCACGGAGCCGGCATCGAGTCGCATCGGCCGCGCTGGGATGCACGCACAGCGACGCCACGCGAGGCATCGGGCCGCGTGGGACCGCTGGAATACTGGAATCGAATCGGAATGAGCCAGCCGACAAATCGACGTCAACATCGAACCGGATCGACCTGGGCGTTGCTTCATGGGGGGGCGGTGAATTGGGGAGAGAAACGTGAACCTCTCGTGCTGCGTTGGGGCCCCAGGGGCCCAGGAGGGCCCTTTAGAGCCCCGTGCGAGCACAAATTGCGCACCTTTCTTCGCTCCCCCTTACGCAACGCCCGATCGACCCGATCGACCCGATCGACCCGATCGGCCCGTTGGGTGGGTGGTGTCCCGCGGCCGCCGGCCTGCGTGGCCCCAGAGGCGTCGACGCTGCCTTCCTGGGAGGCGGCGGCCGCCTTGGGGCGCTGTCGAAGCACATGGCGGCCGACCGCGACCGACGGCGACGGCGACGGGAAGCAGACGACGACGACGACGACGACGACGACGACGACGACGACGTCGACGCCGACGGCAGCTGCGACGGCGACGGCGACGGTGACGGCGACGGCGACGGTAACGGCGACGACGGCGGCGTGGACCGCGAGGGCAGCGGCGGCCGCCGCCGCGGCCGCGGAGGCGCCTCGGAGGGCTCGCCCTCGGCCTTCGCCTTCAGCAGCCTCGCCTTCTCGGCGGCGGCCCTCTTCAGCTCCGCAGCCTCCCGCGCCAGCTTCTCCTGCAGCGCCTGCGGGGGGGGGCCATGCTGCTACGTTGAGACGGCGCACGTGGCACAACGAGCTGGCCACCTCCTGTGGTCCAGGGTCCCAGGGTTCAACGTCAGGGTCGACGGGGTTCAGGTCAGGGTCAACGTTTGCTTTGGCCAGGAGCTGGGGCTTTCACTCTGCTTTCCTTGTCGTTGTCGCCAGTCGTTTCCTCACGTAGGCGTTGTTCACAAATTCAATGTTTCGACATTTGGCCGAAGGGCGGGGGATGGGGGGTGTCTGGGTCTGGGCAGGTGCTGAGTCAATCTGCATTTACCAGTCGCGCACTGTAAGCAGCCTGGGGGGAAGGGGTCCTGACCAGTCGCCAAAATCAGCCAATATCTGGTCTATGGAGGGGGGATGTGGACAGAGGCCCATGCCGATCGGCGAATCAAGGAATGAAGAAACGGCTACTACCTTGCCGCTGGGCAGCCTTTTCGACAGCAAGAAGAATGTCGCGGCGGCGGCCCTGGCAACACGCTATGCCCTTCGAACTGATAGCGAAGTCTCACTTAGCTTCGTGTCACAGGGCGGGACAACCGCCTGCGCGCTCTGGGCATCGCGCAGCAGCTGCTGGCCGAGGTGGAATTGGCCGCCCTGAAGGTGAACCACAGCAGCGCTGGCGTGGCCCCGCGGGCTCGCAGACCGCCGCGCCGGCGCCGCGGCCCGCGGAGCGTGCTCGACGCGCAGCCAGGCGCGCCGCCGCAGGGCCCCCCGGCCGCGGCTGCTGGCGCTGCCGAGCAACACGCGCGGCGGCCGACAAGTCCGGGTGCGCAGCCTTATTCGCCGGGCGGACGTGGCTGGCGCACGTTGCTGCGCAGGGCCCCAACTGGGTGGCCTGCGTGCGTTGCGGGGCGTCCGCGCCCTCGTGGCCAGGGCTTGCGGCGTCGCCGTGCGCGGGCTGGGCCGCCACGCTGCCGCCGCGGACAGCAGCCTTGCTGCTGCTGCTGGTCGTCTGGGCTGGCGGGCGCAAGGCGCTGCAGGCGCGCTTGGCGCAGCGCCCAGGGCTGCCAGACTACATAGTAATTCGGGCAGCCTGCGTGCAGGTGCGCGTCCCCCCCCTCCCACCTCCCTCCCTCCCTGCCTCGACCGGCTTCCCCCACCCTAGGCATCTTCGCTGGGTGCAGAGTGACACTCTGCTTCGCGGGTCGGGGGGCTGGGAGATCTCGGGACTTCGACGCCTGCGAACGGGGACGTGGTTCGCGTTTCGCGCCGAAGCTTGGTAAGCCGGGCCTGGCGCTGCGACACGCCAAGCAACAGCTCCCGACCGTAATGAAGGATGACGGGCGACCAACAAATCCCACCAGCGCTCGGGGCGTAGGTGGTCTTGCGAGTGAGTTCTTCCCACCTCCTTACTCCCCTTCGGGGACAGGTTTACCTCTCACCCGACCTCCCCTCTCCATTAGATCGTCCTGGATGGCCCAAGGCCCATTGCCGCAAGACGGCCCCAGAAGCTAAATAAATGTCCAAGATGTCTCAAGTTATCCCAAGACGACTCTACACAGCTCCCAACATGCCTCCAAGAGTCCCCAAAACGGCCCCAAGCAATGTGGGCCTCAAGAGGCTCAAACTGAGGGAGGAAGAGATCGTCGTCCTGCCCCTCGTTCTCTTAATGCACCTGGATGTTTTCGCAACGTCCGCTCAAAATCGGATCCCCTGACCCACCGTTCGAACTACGTCCAGCGGTGGCACCCCCAAACACGATAAACGTCGAGAGGAGGGTTGACACACACACACACACACAAATGCAAGAACACTCACCAGCGTGGACCCACATCAGTGAGTTATTGCACTGTGGATGTGTAAGCTGCGTGGTGCAACTATGCAAAGTAAGCTATGTGGTGCAAGCCACGTTGCACGAGCTACGTGGTGCAAGCTACGTGGTGCGTGGTGCAGGCTACCGTGGCGCCCCCTGATGCGCCTACGGGCGGGCACCAGGAGGAACGTCGGCATCTCCCTCCAGCGCGTGGCGCCCACGAGGCGCCCGTGGACGGGCAACAGGCGAACCCTGGGAACACCTCCCCAGAGGGGGGCGCCCACGAGGTGCCTACGGGCGGGCATCACGCAGAACCTCGGCATCTCCCTCCAGCGCATGGCGCCCACGAGCCCACGGGTAAGCACCAGGCGGAACCTCGGCATACACACCACGTCTGCGAGTCGCCCACGGCCAGGCGCAGTCAAACACCTGGAACGCCAAATCAATTCCTTAAGCAAGCCAAGTGGAAACCCCGAATTCGGTGCAGGCGTTGTTTTGGGAATGTGGCCAAGAGTGGACCCCATCCATATGGATTCTAGCAACATATATATAGATATATGTATAGATATGTGGTGCGATCTTATCGAAGAAACACATGAGGTGAAATCGTTGAGGAGCAATTCGCGTGGTCTAATATCGGTGGTGCCCATCCTGTTGATACATCTATGTATATATATATATATATAAAAAGATATGTATGCATTGTATAACCTATGCTGTGCAACATCGGTTGTACACCATGCGTGTGGCAATGTAGGCGTTGCAAACTATGTGATGCAATGTCCGACGAGTTATTCAGGTGGTGCAGCCGATCTGGTGCAGTATACGTGGTGCACCATATGTGGTCCAATATATGTGGTGTAACCCACGTGGTGCATTACATGTAGTGCAGTATGTGTTGTGCGGCCACTGGGGTGCAAAATACGCTGTGCAACCTATGTTGTGCACTTTATGTGGAGCGAGCAGCGTTGCGCAATCTATAATTTGCAATCTCGGTTGTGTGATATGTTCTGCACGATCGATGTGGTGCACTACATGCGGTGCACTATACGTTTCCAACATGTGCTTGCTATATGTGCTGTGCGTTCCATGTGGTGCAACCTATGTCGTGCAACTAATCACTTGCCGAACTTGAAGTTGTCAACTCCACTGCTCGCGCAGTCGTCCCACCCACCCACCCGCAGCTTGGTTTGCAAAACCCATGCGGGACCGAGCACCGATATCGCTCCGGGGTCGTCTTGGAGCCCTCGGGGGCATCTCAAGAGGGCCCCAAGAAGGCCGGAGAAGCAAGACGGCCGACGACGACGACGACGACGACGACGACGACGGCGGCGACGACGACGACGCCGACGTCGACGACGACGAAGACGACGACAACGACGCCGACGACGACGACCAAGACGACGACGACGTCGCCAACAAAGACGACGACGAGGGAGGAGGGAGGACGACGACAGCGACAACGACGACAACGACGACAACGACGACAACGAGGGAGGAGGGAGGACGGCGACGACGCGAACGACGAAGAAGGAGGAAGGACGGCGACGCCGACGACGACAACGACGAGGGAGGAGAGAAGACGACGACGAGATGACGACGACAACGACGATGACGGCGACGAAATAGGAGGGATGACGACGAGACGCTGACGACGGACGACGACGACGACGATGAGGGAGGAGGAGGAAGGACGACCACGGCGACAACGACGACGGAAACGACCACGACGCCAAAGAGGACGACGACGACGAACACGAGGAAAGACACAGGACGACGTAGGCGACGACGACGACGACGCGGGAGGAGGGAGGACGGCGACGACGACGACGACGACGACGCCGCAAGAGCGCGCGCACGCTTTTGTTGAAAATCCGTGTTGCGAAACCTTGGGTTTTTGTAGGTTGTTTGGACACACGGTTTTCAAATCCTTCCGAAGCCGATGGGTTTTGAAGGAGTTCGGCATGCGCGCGCGACGACGCGCGCGTCTGCATTTCGTCCCATGTTTTGCAAAGGATTCTCGCGACGGCACACGCGCAAGGTCGTTCGACAGATTTCGACATGCGCGCGCGAAGCCCGTTAGCATTGTGTGAAAATTTTTTTATATAAAAAACAATGGTTTTCTTAAGATTTCGCAAGAGCTCGCGCGGAAGTTTTTTTAGCAAACCGCTGTTGCGAAACCATGTGTTTCGCATGCTTTTTGGAGGCTCGATTGCGAAATCCTTCCGGCACCGAAGGCTTTTGAAAGATTTCAGCATGCGCGCGCGACGGCGCGTGGTGCGCACTTCGTCAAATTTTTGTCCAAGGGATTCGTGAAACAGTGCTATGTGAAAACAAAAAATGTAAAAAAAAAAAAAAAAAAAAAAAAACCTCAGAGGGGGGGATGCCGGCCCCCCGGGGATAGTGTACACTCACATAGGATGGACATGTGGTCAGAATCATAAATGATTTACATACCCGAAAGGGGGACTGATAACGCTGGGGGGGAGATCCTATACTGTTTTTAGTAAAGAGAATCAAAGTAGTGGAATGAATAATATATCACGCTTTGTAACTATACACGCGTGGATGAATATATATATATATATATATATGAGGACCGACCGCGGTGCAGCAAACTGCACAGCATCCCGACGCCAACCATTGCGGCTCCACAGCGGACAGTGTTAGAAGAGTGCCCTGGACCTGTCGACGAGTGCCTGTGCAGCCCGACGTGCAGTGTAGAAGTGCTGCTCATGCTGCACTGTAGTGCAGTCTAATGGGAGCGGTGGCTGGGTGCGGAGGGTGTTGCACAGATGGAAAAGCCAGCACCAGCCGCTCCACGTCCTCAGGAGACGGGCCCCCCCCGAGTCCGAGACGCGACGCAGGGCTGCCATGGATCGGGGCCGCGGGGGGGCAAACGACGCTCCAGAGACCAGGGCAACGGACATGATTGGAAAACTGGTCGAGAGCGTGCGGTGGCAGCCGACGGCAATCACATCTGAACAGGCATCGCCTGGGGCCACCCTGGGTGTGAAGCCTGCTGCTCGAGAGCCGCTCCCCGCAAATAGTTTTAATCGCAGCAGCTTGCCAGCTAGGGGGCGCCCCCGAGGCTAACAGGTCTCGCAGGGCACACCATTCGGCTCGACCGACAGGGGGCAACTTCCAGGCTCGAAAACGACGGGCGAGGAGGAGGTGGAGCGAGCCAGGGTAGAGGGAAAGGCGAAGGGAAGAGGTGAGGACACGCTG